CTTCTTTCTTTCTTTCTTTCTATGGGGGGGGGGGAAGGGTTTCAGCCACTTGACACGGTACCTCTGATTATTATCGAGGGAGGGAAGGGGGAGGGGGTGGAGGTGGAGGAGAAGAATTTGAAAAACACGTGTGTGGTGTTTGGTACCGTATTCTGGTGTTTGGATTTCGCGAGCTGGGTTTTTACGAGGAGGGGGGCGTGGGTAGGAGGGTAGGAGGGTAGGGTAGGAGGGAAGGGAAGGGAAGGAGGGAAGGATGGGAGGAAGGGAAACGTGACGGGAAAAAGACCGTACACAGATAAGTGATTAGTGTACCGTAGTAAAGCACGTAAGTAAGTAAGTAAGTAGTGTTGTTCCACGTGATGATGATGATGATGATGATGATGATGATGATGATGATCATGATGATGATGATGATCATCCCCCACCCCCCTGCCACCCTATTACCTACTTAGGTAGGTACTTGGAAGAAGAACCGATTCGCTCGATCGGCTAGCGAGCAGATCAGTCAGTACTTAGGTACTTAGCAGATTTTGTACGGAAGATGGCTTAGTATCTGTGGCTAGAGGCAAGGCTTGATTGATTAAGGCGATAGGGTACCTATGGTATGGTATGGTATGGTATGGTATGGTATGATAAGATAAGGTAGATCCGTTCCGTTCCTTACTGGCGTCTCTGTCTGGCTTCGTCTCTTGAACAGTTACGAAGTAGACGACAGAAAGAGGGGGAGTTTTATATAGAGAGAGAGAGAGAGAGAGAGGTCACGTGCGCTGTATAGGTCATGTGTGTGGAGGTATACAACATATGTATCTCATCAAATATATATATATATATACCTATATCTACCTATATAACCACAATGACTCCAAGGTTTAGGCATAAGAGGTGAAGAGACAAAGCCGGAAGAGCAGGGGTAGGGGTAGTAGGAAGAGGAGAGAAGGTACCGTAGGAGGGAAAGTTGAGGGATTAATAAGTGCATGAGATAAAATGAAGTGCTGGGACAGGATTCAACGCTCTGCTCGGCGCGAGTTTTTCAAAGAGGGAAAGGCGTGGGGTGAGTAAGAGAGAGGAGGGGGGGGGGGGGGAGGGGTAAGAGTAGACAGAGAGAAAGTGAAGCAGAGTAGAGCAGAGTAAGCAGAGCAGAGGAAAGAGCGGAATGATCGAGCACCTCAACAGCTTTGAATTGGATGACAGCTGGTCTAGTTGTGTGATGCGGAAAAGAGAAAGAAGTTTGTTGGCTGGTCTTGACATACTTCGCTATTCTCGACCTTACTTTACTTTCTTCTACCCTTGCAGTCAATCAAGTCTGTAGATGGACTCCAGATGGCGGTAAGAGGTGCGGGCGATGAAGAAGGATGAGCGGCAAAGAATTGTCCACTGCGTCGGCTTCCCTCAAACTTTATCCATACTGTAGTAACTTATTATCATCAACGTCCTGCCTCTAGGTATCTCTTTAGGTTGCGAGCCTCAAATACTATCATGCTCTGCAACAAGCCGAGATGTCTGGATGGCCTAGACGTGCATAGATACATACATACATACACAGTCTCCAGTACTAGCCCAGCCGACAAGATTCCAACCAACAGAAACCACCGACGCAAATGTAGGTAATCAATCTCGAATAGACACCCACGCGAAGAAGACACCGAACAGCCGAGACATAAAGACATCCCCAGCCGACACCCAGCAACACTTGACTTGACAGCTTCACATCTGAAAAGGCCACCTCCGCTGACCAAGACGATGGTACTGTACAGTACGTAAAAGACGACAGAGACAGACTACGGTAGTGCCACGCCCCCCTGTCAAGCCTCAGCTTCGTACAGTACCGGTACTGTACTGTACTGTATACCTATACCTATACCTACTACGCTACACCCTCTCGCACCTGTCAAAACAGCCACCTCCTCCGCTCCGCACACCACTAACTAGCTAAAGCGAACAAGCGAACAAGCGAACAAGCTAGGACATACAGCAGGCCAGAAGAGATCGGCGCGCGATCGCCCCTACAGACATGGCGAACCTAAGCGAGACAGACAGACAGACAGACGACCTCAGCTACGGTACCGTACGTACGTAGCTGCTAATGTACCGTAGTCAGTCAGTCAGTCAGTCAGTCAGTCAGTCGGTAGCTACTTACCTTATGCACGTCGTCGGATGATCCCCGGTGCTAGGCCATACCGGCACATACATACTCTCGTCATGATTCAATACATATACATATATACATATACATATACATATATACATATATATTAATTTTCTAATTTTCTTTTTTTTTCCCCCGATTACCTACAAAGCCGCATCATCCACCCGCCATTCCCAAGCCAAGCTTTCCCAGCCCCCGAACGCAGCCTCTTCCTGCGTGAAGGAGAGCGGGCCCGTGTCCAAGGGCCCCAGATACGGATACGGATAGGTAGGTAGGGGTAGGTACCTAGGTAGTGCGACGGTGATGCAGCTTCGGATGGGCCGGCGGGTTCGGTGACGGGAGCAGGCAGGTAAAGGTACCGTACCCGACAGGCAGCAGCGGCCTGTCGAGCGAGAGAGGTGGACGGGGAGGCGTATGTGTTTGTTTATAGGAGGTGGTGGGTTGTGGGGAGATGCGTTGCGAGCGATACGGGAGGTGGGTGATGTGCCAGGAGGAGGTAGATGGCGACCGAGAAGCGCGAATGGGAATGCAAGAGGGATAGTAACTTGCCTTGTTAATGTTGCGAGGAGAGGAGCATTGGATCACTCGGACAGATGTCTCTACACTTCTCGATTGGCCGGCGGCGGAGATGAATGAATGAATGAATGAATGAATGACATAAGAAGCCCGGGCAAAGCTATCCTCGTGCATAAAAGTGTTTGTTATGTCATATTTGCTTTTCGAGTCCCACGAGACGGAACCTATGCTATACGAAGCCACAGACTCATCCTCGCAAGCGCAACTCCCCCGAGCATCAAGGGCTTCAAGGTACGGCAACAACCTTCGGTACAACCCACCAGTCGTGATAGCCCTTCCCCGTCTCCGGCACCTCAATCTTGATCTTCACCTCCCGGTTCCCTTCCCCCGCAGCTTCGACCGCCTTCCGCACCGCAGCAATACTGATACCGGTAAAGATGCAAGCTTTCAGACACGCCTTGACGTTACTCAGCCATGTCGCGTACGAGCCCTGGCAGAACGCCTCCTCCGCACCAAGTTTACTCAGCAATTCGAATCCCTTCTTGGCGCCCACGGCCGACTCGGCTGCGAACTTGAGGAGATCCAGGGTAGAGAGATCGGGCTGCTGGACGGCTTTCGTGAACTCCGTGAAGGGGGGCACTTCAGGGAGGCCGATGCTCTGGAATGGTTTCATGCGTACTTCGTACCGCATCGTGTCGTCGCTGTACGGGCGCGGCGGTACTTTGAGCAAGGACAGGCGACCGAGAACAGTGAACAGTAATGATAATGCGTCGGAGAACCCGTAGGTAGCTGCCGCTTCCATGGACGAGAAGTTGATGAAGTTCAGCGCGGCCATGAACTGCGGATGGTGCGCCATGGCCGTCTCGCGGTTCTGCAGCGAAGTCCGCAAGTCTCGCTCCACAAAGCCTCTGATCCGTTCTAGATGGCGACCGCGGGTTTTCGTGAGGTATTGTAGGTGCCAGTACATTCCTGCCAGCTCGTCTGGCTGGTACGTCTCCAGCTCAAAGCCCATCTGGACAAGCCATTCCATGAGGCGGAGCTTGTAGAAGTACGACCAGGAGGATAGAGGGAAGGCGTAGATGGGCTCTGCCGAGATCTCAGTGTCAACAACAGGCTGCTCTTGTGTGAATTCACGGAGCTCAAGGTCCAGCTCTTCGGAATCGAATTGCAGGTTGTCCCAGTCGACGATTGCATGGCAGAGGGTTCGCCGGATACGGCACCGGTTTTGGCAGATCGCTCGCATGATGTCTAGGTAGGAGCTCGCTGCTCGGGAGCGGAAGAGCTCCATGCGGGAGGACATTTTGTGCCGAGGATCGTGCGGCACTTCGATTTCGTCGTTAAGGCGATCGAGAAGTTTGTTTGCTGGTAGAACGATGGTTTCCAGATCCTCGTCGAGGACGTGTCGGATCGAAAGCTTACCCAAGATGATCATGTCGGCGAAGATGTAATATTGCAGCAAAGTGCGAACGTACACTGATGGCTGTGGCTTGCGAGCTTGGAATAAGAACACGAATGTCTGCATGTTTTTGAGCAATGAACTATGGTGGATCTCAAGACTACGACTTACTATGAGGCTGTGGCTGTCATAGTACTCGAGGACTTCAACAGCAACTGAAGCATCTGAGCAAAGTCTCTCCAAGTGACTCAAAGCATCTTCCTGGCTGACCTCCACGATAGGCCGCGGTGGCACGGTACTAGCAAGCTTCCGTTGTATCTTGACGCTAAAAGAAGAAGGGACCGGCTTTCCAAAAGCACTTGATGACTTGATATCCGAGATAGAGGCCGACAACTCCGACCAATACTTCTGGGGGTCTTTCGACACTCGGGAATCTGCTGCTTCGACAGCTGTTAGAAATTGAAGCCGCAGCTGAAGTCGACATTCTATAGACTTCTTCATGATGGGCTCTATGTCGTCTGCATCGATGAGAAGGGCGATAGTAGTCTCGAGGAGGTCTACGATAGCTTCATGTTCGATGCTCTCCAGCAGACTTCGATTGAAGGTTTGCGTGACGAAGTCTTCTTCCTGTAATGGCCTATGAGTAAAGGCCCGTTGAAGTTCTGAGGCTATATATATATACCTCATACATATGCTCAGACAGTACTCGTTCGTTGACATAGTGACACGTCTTGATCAAACCAAGACAATACGCTCTAAGTGCCCGAAGCATCAACGGCTCATCGTCACAGCTCTCACTCCGATCGAAGTACGTCTGGTTGATATCCAACGGACAAGGCGAAAGTATCCTATCAATGTACAAACTCGTAAAGATGGTCTGCGAAAGCGGATGTCCCATGTGCCACGCCATCTATAAAATCAGCACTACTAACCAACCAACAACATGGCACCGGGGTATCAATACCTCATGACACAACAACTGGTCAATAATGCCAATGATTTCCTCCGGCAGCAGCTCCTGCCCAAAGTCGTAATCATCCTCCATCGTCTCCCCGGGCTCCAAATAACCGCTATCCATCTTCGGGTCCATAATCTGCAATACCACATCAGCTTCTGTTCATACTCTCCAACCTTTCGATTCCACCTCCTGCACCCCGATAGGATTCTATACCTCCAAAGCCCCCACGGACTCAAACAGCGTAAAGAAGGGTTCCTTGACCAGCTCTCCCGTCTTAAGCTCTAAGGTACAGTCACTCCATCAGCACGTGATCAGACCACAGTTTCGCATCTGGATCTTGATATTGATACAAATAGGAGAAAGAGCCTACGCTGAGCGGCGTGCGTGAATTGCTGCGTGATGTCCGTAGCTATCACACCCTTGCTTTTCAACCTGGGGGCCGGTGGTGGTAAGGGGTCGTAGGCCACCAAAGGATCCCGATGGCGGGCATCCTCGTCGTCGTCGTCGAGGACGAGATTGGCCGTCTCTGGAAAATGTTAGTTCAGGCTGTTCAGAAAGAATTGGAGAGGAGACAGAGCAGGGTACCTTGCGAGATATGCGCCATGCCATTGCTGTGCATCCTGATGGTCGGACCCAGTTGGGATGGTGTTGTTGGCGTTTTTCCTGCGTTAATTTTTGAAATTCGCGTGGAAGTTCAGCAGAGCTCGATTGAGGGTCTGGCACGTAGGTAGGAACAAAGGGAGGAACGTAGGTAACAACGAAGTTGACCAACGATGCACTTGTGTATAGGGCACAAAACAACAGAATATTCACGGCAACGTGATTTTAGCCAGCAATGATCCCAGGACCATCCTAATAACCCTACTGTGAGATTCCGGATTACCCTTTCTCCGAAGGTCCCGACCTACCACCTTGATATCAGACACAATCGTATTTGCATCTGGTTCGCGTGTGGCTTGATCAATCTCAGACTCGATATCGACATACTCCCTGTCCCAATGCCAGGATAAGATCGATTGCCGGCAGCGCATGGGGGAGGGGGGGATTGTGATGACGGGCGCATCATGAATATGCCGAATTGCGAATTCAGCATCGAAATCATAGTTCAGCATCAGATCACACGGTACGCAGCACATCCAGAATAGATTGCCATCAACCGATCTCTCTCGTTCAGAATGGCTTCAACCTCCTATCTTATTCGTCCTTGAATAATACATTTGTACACTCACGTCCCGTTCCCATCCCCATTCTCGTTCCCCTCTCCCCGACCCCAATCAACCTCCCTCCAATCCCACCATATCACCTCCATCCGCCGAAAATCTACGAGGAAGAGCCCGCTGCAGACGTGGCTGGAGCATTCGCATCCGCCACGTTCTTGACCTCGCCCTGCTTGCCGTTCTGTTCTCTCGTCAGCTCACTCAGCATCTCAAACAATAAATCGATTTCCACCCCATCCATCAATTCCCTTGCCCATCTTTGTCCTCCTGTTCCATTCAGGCATCCCAACCCACTCTTCATTCTTCCTTCCACAAGAACAAAGTATGCATAAGGAGCAGGAAACTCACGTTCCACTTCGAAAACTTGAGCTCCATCTCCCCCCGACGCTCAGCAGCTAGCCTCTTGTCATCCTTGAGGCTGCGGCGGACGACGCGCGCGGCGACAGAGAGGTACTTGTTGTAGCTGTTTTCCCGTGTGTTGCCTCGTTAGCCAATTGCTTCCTCTGTCTTCCTTCAATGAATCCTTTTCTCCCCAAATCAATTGTGCCAGGACGAGCAGCGTGGTGGCAGGAACAAGGAGGGTGCGCACGTACGTGAGACCTGATGCTTTCCACGCGAATGCCATTTTGTTGTGTGTTGTGGAGTTGTAAGGGGAGGTACTGTATGAAGGTGGTGGTTATTTGAGGTTGGTAGCTACTCGAGCTGTCCCGGCCTGCCTAACTAGAATATTCAACAGTCACGTGTGAAATTTATGTGGGGTTGGTTTTCCTATTCTTACACCATGCATGATACAGCCGTAGTAGTAAGAGCTATCAGATCTCACGATAGTTAGACGCAAAGATTACAAACATTCTGGACTACGAAACCTCTCTTATATCTATCTACAGTACACTTTCTAATGGCTGTTGATACATCCCCGCCGCCGCCGACCACCGGATATGTAAAGATTTTATACCTTGAGCCCCAATTCCTCCGCATATGGAAGGACGTAGAGATCTCCGACAGCTGAAACAGTTGCCTTGCCCTCCAAAAGCGCCTTTGCTGCCTGGGGAATGTTAGCATCTCTGCAATCAAAATACAAAACTCGAGAATACTTACCGACTTCAACTTTTCAGCAGTCACACCCTCGACGCTCTTGCCCACCTCATCAATCTGGAATGCCTTTCCACCGTGAATGAGACCAGCGCCAGTTGCGACGAGACCAGCTTCAATGTTCTGGCCCTCCTCCAAAGCGCGGTACTTTGCGAGAGCAACGGCTTTGGTGAAATCCTCCTTGCTGATCGAACCCTCAGAAATGCTCTTCAGAACCTTGACAGCCTCAGCCGTGGCACCACGGATAGCTGATGCAGAGCCGCTGAATTGGATTGTCAATAGGCCAGCATCGGAATAGGCCAATTGGGTTGTAGCAACGCTAATTCCCGGGAAACCAGATGCAACCTTGGACAGAAGCGAGAATCCAGGAGTCCACTTGATGGTAGATTTGCCACCAAGAAGTGCTGAGAGAACAGCGACCTCTGGCTTGTATGATCCGCCTGCAGTGAAAGAGCTAGAACCTGGGAAAGCAATGACGAAGGAATTGCCACCATCGTGCGCAATGCGCTCCTCTCCACCGTAGTACTTGGTCGCCTCGGCTGTCAGGGCACTGCCAGAGCTTGAGGTATTCTTGAAGAATTCTCCGACCCACTTGCTCAATTCTGCTTGACTGGCACCGTTTGCAACAACTGCAATATTTGGCTTGGCGTAGGCGCCCTGGGCGAATTGCGCAATAGAATCCTCGTTCAAGTATTTGTTGAGAGGAGTCGACGAAGACGGGTAAAGAGGCGTGCCGAGACCGCGGTGGAAAGCGAGACCGTGTGCAGAGTTGATTGCCAGCTCCGAGACCTCTCTAAGGAGCTTCTTCTGGGAGAGCTTGATCAAGGGCTCAATCTGCTCGTGGTATTCGTGGGCTATGCAACGTCAGAACGCTCCACTATTGATAAAGCACTGTAACAATTGACGTACCGGTGTACTTCGTCTGCGAGATGACCTCGCCCAGCAGTTCCGTAAAGTATGGCAAATCGTCGCGAAGGAACTTTGCCTCGACAACAAGAGCCTCCCGGGTGTGATATGAAGTCAATTGGCCGCCGAGCAGCTCTGATTCTCTCGTAATTCGCAAGGCGGATCGCTTGTGGGTGTTCTGGGGAATTCGAAGTCAGCCTCTGGCCTGTAAACACGCATTGAGACCCATCCATCCACGCACCTTGAACGCGAAGTGCTCCAATCCAGAGGCCAAGCCGGGCGCCGTCTGGTATCTCGTTCCAGCCTTTGCAACAACGGCAAGCTTCGTCGTCGGTCCTGCCACGTCTCTGCTAGCGACCTTGACCCCGTTGACATCGGCGGTATCGTATGAGAAGGAAGTTGATCCGGAAATGGAGGCAGCGAGGCCGCGGCGGTTTGAGGGATTGGCGCAGCATTGCCTGCGAAGGGCAAGCTGGGCCTTGGGACCAATCGCCGACCGTGAGATCATTGTGCGAAGGAGGGGGGAGACTTGGGGAAATAGTGAGAGTCTCGAGGTTTGGTCAGTCGCTTCTATAGGGATTGAAGACGTCGGTTCGGTCGAGCTTGACTTCAGGGAAATATCGGGTGCTTACCTCATGTACTTATTCAGCTTTCTATTGGCTGGAGAGGTTGGAAATGGAGAGCCACCCACCGCCTTGCCGGGCCTAAGCGACATGGTCTGGTTCCCCGCCATCAGCGTCAACTTTTTTGCAATTTCTCGTCACCCACCAGCCCAAAATATACTCCAATTTTTACCCCACGATTCCCGACTTATTCCTTCTCGGCCTCATCCACATTCACATCCAACATCTGCACCCAGATCCTCGACCTCGCCAATGAAGCACCGGTAGCAATTGTGGAAAGCACTGGGGATCTGGGATAATCTCTAGCAGCATACAATATGTCTCGAGTAAGTCAGTCAGTCAGTCAGTCAGTCCTATGGACGACTGCTGCCCCGTCGTCCTGTCTTTCCCTCTCTTTCTTTTTTCCCCCTCTACCCTCAACTTTCTGGAAGGAGAACTGACAATCTGCAGTCAAAAAACTCAGTAGAGCTTTGCGCTTTACTGGTCGACGAGACTTACGGCGAATTAACCTCCGTATGTGTGCCACGCCGTACCATACACACCCTTTGAAGCTTCCTCGGCGCAAGCTGCCCGGCCCTCCCTCCCAGGTGGACTAAGCTGGGCAAATCATCTTTTGGTTTGGTCAAGTCTGACGTGGGAACAGCGCATATTTACAGTTCTCCTTCGGCACGGACGACTCGAAACCAAAGGCATTAGACTACACACCAAGCTTTCCCAGCGCGCCGTCCTGCACGGTCTCACGGTGCTCATTCAGCAAGGCCTCGTCTACCACAATCGCGATGATGACCAACACACATTCTACGAAGCCAACGACGATGCGGCATATGGTCTGGCCAGGTCGGGAAAGATCCTCGAGATTGTGGAGAGCAGATACGGGCCGTTTGGGCGGGATGTCATGCAAAAACTATTCACGATGGGTTATACCAAGATTTCTGATCTTGCAAACGCATATGAGTCAACCACAGTCCAGGAGCACCACCCCAACGGCAATGGCAAAATGAATGGGCATGCTACCAAGAACGGTGTGAACGGCCTCTCCGAGGAACATCCCTCCACTGGACCCCTACACACTGTACTCGCCCACTTCCTCGAAGCTGGCATAATTGAACCTGTGGTTGAGAGCATGCTGCGGAGCCCTACGGATCTATACAACATGGCCGAGAAGGAAATTACCAACCAGTTCTTCTCTGGAGGCACGAAGGGTATCAAGCAAAAAGAAGAACTGAAGCAAAAAATCCAATCCCGTATAGAGGCTGCTAGATCTGATGGTCCTCAATGGCAGCCAAGAGGAATGAAGAGGAAAATGAACGGCGACCACAACGGAACAAGTGGTGGCCTGAAGCGGAGGAGACTTTCCAGTGGTGAAGATGCCACCAAAGGTGATTTGCTATACGAGGATGATGGCACGAGACTCGACGTAGGTTATCCTGCCTCACGAAGTAGGAAGGTCGCATGCTAACTTCCCATCAAGCTGAACCTGGTTGTCCGCATCAATTATGAGAAATGTACAGTCGCGATCCGTAGCCAAGCGCTGGTTGCGCTTGCATATGATCGGATTGGCGAGACCACATCTCTCATTTATGCCGAGGCCCTTCGAATCTTGGAGAGCCAAATCCCACGATGTCGGTTAAGTTCAAAGGTTCACGTCGATGAAGTTTCTGCCGGACCATCTTTCACCACCATGCAGCTCACAACTGCCCTCAGCAAATCTATAAACCCAGATCTTGGTATTGGAAAGGCGGAAAGTTCCAAAGATGGAAAAGTGGCAAAAGGAGTAAATGGAGATGTGCACATGAAAGATTCAAATGGAAATGGCAAAGCTGCAGACGAGGATGAAGATGACCCGTTTGCAGATGAGCCGCGAATGACGAAACGTCTCAAGGTCACTTTCCAGGACAAGCTCCCAGGGCTCGACACACCTGAACGAAGCGAGAATCGGATGCAACAAATCAAGAACCACCTTCAACTTCTCGAGTCAGATGACTTCCACCTGCTGCGGAAATGTGGAAATAGCGGTCAGGGCGAGTGGACGGTCGACTTTGCTCGCATCAACCAACTCATGCGGCAGGCCGAGATTGACAATTTGCTGTTGGAGAATCATGGCGTATTTGGTCATCGGCTGGCTCGGATCCTGAATAAGTTCGGCAAGCTTGATGAAAAGCAACTTCCCAACTTGGCTCTGATGAAGCAAAAGGATGTCCGTACAAAGCTGGCCGAGATGCAACTGGCAGGTATGGTGGATATCCAAGAAATACCCAAGGATGCCAACCGGAGCAACCCTAATCGCGTCTTCTACTTCTGGTTCTTCGATAGCGAGCGCGTCGCATCCGTCATCCTTGAGAATACCTACAAGATGATGTCCCGATGCCTCCAGCGTCTCGATATCGAGCGGCGCAGCGCAGCTTCTGTCATTGAGGTGACCGATCGAAGCGATTTGCAAGATCAGCAACCGGAAGACTATCTCGAGCCTGGTCAGCTCAACACCTACGAGATATTTTTGGGGAAGGAAGAAGCCCTGCTCAACCAAGTTTTTCGACTTGATCAGCTGATTGGGATCTTTCGTGACTTTTGAATGTGTAGCTCTCAGGGGCCTCGAGAATCTGTTTATGTATGCGTGAACGACGTGTGATGATATTTGTGGCGCGGGATAAGGAGCATCTTGCATGGATGGATAAATGGCGTCTGATGCATTTGGGCGGCGTTACGATCTGGCTGGTGGGCTGAGGACAGATTCTTCAGGACAGATGACTGGAAACTTCTTTTTGATACCACTGATCTGATCTGCCCCATGTGAAGCTGCGAACCCTTTAAGATAGCAGAAGTGGTTTGCTTGGTGCTTCCTGAGGGGTGGCACAGGCGAATACACATCTACTTCTATACAAATTCAAGTTTCTGTTTATGTGTGTATGTGGGTGTTTTCTCAATATCTTGTGGACGCTCAAGTCTTGGCTGAAGAGGAGTAGTAAGTGCTACAACACCAGATCATATATCTCGTCACCTTGGTCGCTGTTTTGCGAAGAAAACGCATTCCAAGTCAAGAAACGGAGTACGTATAGCGACTTTCGGTCCCTTATATGCCCTCCCTCCCTCTCCCCTTCCCCTCACCCTCCCTCTCTTCCCAGAACTATCTACCCGAATCAATAGGGTCTAGATATTTTGAACGCGGACATGATCTAAGGCTGGCACGCAATAACGCGGCTCACCTTGGTCCAGCCCAGCTCTTCTTACGACTCACTCACTCACTATACAGTACTAGTATTACTATTACAGACGGCACCACAGGGCTCTTATTGCCTTTTGCAGCTGATGATGGAATATGTTAGGATAGGTGAGGTGTCTTAACTTGGGTAGCTAGACTGCTGCTGCTACTATCCTTTCTCGTGAGAAGCTCGTGAGAAGTTCGCAAGGCAAGCTGGATTCTAAGTCCTGCTTTTTATTTCACGGTCGATAATCGGATAGTTTTTTTTTTTTTTTGAAGAGGATTTAAGATATGGAGTAGACATGGAAATGGGGGCTTGCTTGCTTGCTTGTTTTTGGGGCAAGTGACTTGGGTCTTGGAGCTCGCTCCTTTCTCTATATAGCACCAAGCCTATTAAGCACAATCAACTTGTCCTTCTCAACTTCGACCGAACTTTCCTTGCTGGCATCTCTATCTCTCTTGCCAACAAGAAGCAGTATTGTGGAGAACGCTCTGAGGTAAGTAGCAGCAGCTCTGAGCTGGAATCTCTTATCCATCTACCTCGAAGTCATAGTCGAGTCTATAGTCAAAATTATCTAACACACGAGATATTATATACTTATATAATTTTATTATCGTGCAATCTGTGAGGTGTAGCTCTTTATTTTACTTACCTATACGATAGGAAGGAGCGAGGGAATCAGAGGTACTTGGCTGTCTTGCCGGCTGGCTTTGTATGGATAAGAGATGAGACGAAAGTTGGGGGCTCTTGAGCATATGAATGTCTCGTCGTAGCCGCTTACCAAGCAAGGCGAAGCTGAAGATTAAGATTGAAGGTATTTGTAGCAGTTGTAATCACGTTTATGAAACATGCCGTCCCTCTTAAACTACCTACCTCATATTTATCATTCTGCCAGATAGAGATATCGAGATAGCACCGGAAATTTAGTCCGCGAATAAATTTCCTACGCGGACTAAATTTCCTATATCATGATACATGTAGCGTAAGAACAAAGCAGTTTTCCAAACCAAATATCCATCCATTCGTTCGTTCGCTCGCTCGCCCATTTGTTCATCCAGCTATCTATTTTAAACTTCTAAAAAGAAAAGAAAACACCTCTTTCATAAAGGAATTGACTACCCAGTAAGCAAGCAGATAAATAAGTAAGTAATCTCGCTATCTAAAACCCAACATCCCACTTTCAACACCCAACACCCAACACCCAGTGCGTGGTACATAGTGGTGTATATCCTCTACTCCCCCTACACCCATTCACCCACTTATAATAATCCAGATCTTATTGCCCCCCCACCCCCCAAAATATAAATGTTAATCTTAAACCTCAGAACTTCAAAATAGTTTTCTTACAGCCAGCCAGTCAGTCAGTCAGTAAATAAACAAGCGGCGCACTGACTATTATCTGTTGGTAATCTCTTGGTTTCACTTTTCGCTTATCAGAAGGGAGAGAAAATAAATAAACCAAACCAAACCAAACCAAAAAAAAAAAAAAAAAAAACAAAGCGCTTCAAAATAAGAAATAAGATGAAAATCAACAAGATGCCAGATGAAGTAAAGCACATCAATATCAATATCAACATCACAAAATCACAATCACAACCATCCAGCCTAAGATTAAAAGAAAGATGGAAAACAAGCGGATTCTGCCCTTCCACTTCCAATTCCAATCCCAAGACGCAATAAAAGAAGTAGCCAGTCTGGATTTTTCTAATTTATCTCATTCGTTTATCTTCCTATTCATGTATTTTTCTTCATGGTCCCCGGTCGGCCAACCTCCAGCCCAGCCGCGATATGAAGAAAGTATAGTATGTATGTACAATGAGAATAGAATGCTCGCTCCTGTGTGTGTTTGTGCGTGTTCGCGAGAAATCAGAAATCAGAAAGGAAATCCCAAGTTCCAAGTCCAAAGGCCAGATGCAGATGTATATGGTCCTGTGTACCCATTTTGGCCGCTGCGTTAAGTACGTCAAGTTACGTTACTCATGCCGTCATCCCACCCAGCTAGCTGCTGCTCTCGCTCACTCACGGACACACTCACGGACGCTTGTCCGCACAGAGGTCTCGATCGCTCCTCGCTCCTCGCAGCTAGCTAGCTAGCCTGCCAGCCTGCCGCTTTACGCCGCAGCGGCAGCGGCATAAGTCGAACCGAGCGAGCTTAGCGCGCTGCCACTCATCAGGTTCCCGTCCGCGACCATAAAGTAAGAGTAGCGCTCGATGTAGCTCGTAGAGTCCATCCAGGCCATGACCTCCTTCAGGAAGGCAGCCTGCTCGAGCGCCGTGCCGGAGGCCTGGAACTCCGTGACCCAGATGGGCCGGTTGCCACCCGCGGCGTACGCCTTGGCCATGTACGCCTTGAAGGCCGCCGCGTCGCCGCCGTTGTACCAGTGGACGGCGATGGCGTCGATGGTGCAGGCCGAGCAGGCCGCGATGAAGTTCGTCAGCCACGTGAGGCCCATGGGGTCGCCCCCGTTGGTCACGGCCGGGGAGACGAGCTTGGCCTTGGAGGCGTAGGGCTGCATGTACGTCATGTATCCCGTGGCTGCGGCGGCGTATCCGAGGTTGGCTTGACCGGAGTAGTCGGGCTCGTTGAAGGAGAGGAGGTGCGTTGCTCCGGCGGCGAGACCGGTGGACACGGCGTCGGCCCAGTTGCGAGTATGATCACTCGAGAGGCCCCACAGCATAGGTACGTACTCGATTCCGGCGGGAACGGTACCACCATATTGGGTGGAGCCCCAGTTGTAAGACCAGGAGAACATGCTGTTCTTGGCGAAGGCTGTGAGGAGGGAGGCATCGTTGTAAGCGAGCCCTCGCTTGCTTGTCGAGGTGGTGGAAGAGGAGGATGAGGCGGTAGCTGCGGGAGCGGCGAGAGAAGTGCTTGCGCTTGCGCTTGCAATCGGCTTGGCGGCGACCAGAGTAGAGATGGGGGCGACGTAGGAGTTGGATGGCTTGGCCTCGATCAGATCAGCATTCAGGAGACTGCTGCTGCTGCTGCTCGAAGAAACCACTGGAACCAGAGTTGTCGCCGGAGCAGCGAGGGGGGGCGCCCCTGGCAGCGGCTCAGCTACCATCAGGGCACTCTCATCGACGAAGGCGGTTGCCGTAGCAGGTCGAGTCTCCAGAGATCCATCGGCTGCTTCGGTGACCCAGACCTCCTCGGTCACGATCACAGTGTCCGTAGCGACGTAGTAGTCGCGCTTAGCGTGCAGATTAAGGTGGGCATGGCGGGGGACGGCGATGGCCTCCTTGACCAGCATAGAAGAGGCCATGACGGCGAGGAAGGGAACGCAGGTGGTCCGCATCTTGAATTGCTTGTTGTTGTTAATTGGAGTTGTGCTATGTGAGGCTATGGTTATGTGCCTCGATTGGATGATCGAATTGATTGGCGATGGTGTGTGTGTGTGTGTATATGTGTGCGCTGTATGAAGAAGCAAGCAAGCAAGTGAAGGGCGAGCTCGTTGAATCAATCAATAGTATTTGGATTGTATTGTATTGTAATTTTAGGAGTGACAAGTAGAGTGAGTGAGTAGTAGTAGCGATCGATGCAGAGAAGAGACAGTGCGGGAATAACAATAGCAATCAATGACAATGGCAACGGCCAGAGCGCTGTGATTGTATTGTAGGGTAGAGAGAGAGAGAGAAAGAAAGCAGCAAGTTGGGAGAAAGAGGATATAAATATACCAGCCATTACCTACCTCTCGTTTGTTGATTGGGGATTTGGCATTCATTCTTCCTCCGCCCGGATGCTTGATCTTGGATCCGTGCCCGTACTATGGAATGCGTATGTGCCTGTGTGTGTGCGTACGTGCGTGCGTGCGCGTGTGTGTATTTCCTTTCTTTTCTTTCTTCATTTCTTTTTCCACCTTTTTGTTGTTCACTCTCTCTTCCCTTGTTTTGTTTGTTTTGTCGTAGAATAAAGCACTCCTCCTCGCCTACCCCTGGCGCTAAGCGGAGAGTCAGAAAAGCTTGTATAGTAACCGACTCTTGATTCATGAATGCCCCATACTCGGTACGCGAGCCGGACGGAACATGTAATTCGCCGATTCACCCGTACTCCGCTCTGAACGTACTACTACGTACCACTTTCCCACTTTCCCACTGTCCTCCTATCTTTTCATCTTTTCATCTTTTCATCCGCAAGTCTAGATGGGCCGGCCGGGGGAGAAATCGGAAGAGGACGAGGCGTGTGCGTCTGCGTCTGCGTCTATCCGACCCACCAACCCAACCAGGCCGTTCTCGTCTCTGCACACACATACCTACACACGTACTTCTGTACGCGCGGGCTAGCTGCGTATGCGCAAGGTACTTGTATGCAAAGCCATATCTGCAAGCCAGTGTTTGGGAGGCAAAGGAAATTGTCAAATCGTTTCGTTTCGTTTCATTTCCCGTTCTCCTCTTCTTGCTGCCTTCTCTTCTCCTCTCGATCTGTCCGTACCAACACACTACGGGTCGTGTGTTTACCAAAGCAGCTCTCAGATTCCTCCCTTCCTTTCTTTTTCCCCTTCCTCGGTCTTCCATCTTCAATATTATGGTCACGCGGGTAATTGATTATTCCCATATTGCAAATGCAATAGCCCTGCTATCTCCATCAACTACCTGGCCAACAACAACAACTACACGTTCCCCTCCCCCAAATTCCCCTCAGTACTCGCTCAGGCGCAGTTTCTTTCCAATCTCTCTTCTCCTCGCATTGACCGTTGCTCGCTCCGACGGCTTCGGCACTCCGTCGTCCAGTCCTTCCCCTCGCGCCTTGAGCGCCTGTAGGAGCATGCCTGCGTCGAAGAAGCCATCTGCAATATCATGTTAGCCCCCCTTCTTCGAAACCCGCCATATCATCTGCTCGTCTCATCTCCTCAAGACCACCCATCTCAACCTTAAACAGACATCATGGCGACTCGACCCTTTCATCCAAATTGCCAAGGGCGGCGGAAAGTGGTAGCAGAGAGGAAACTTACAGCCACCTAATCCCTCGTCGTCACTCACAGCCGCACTCTCATCCGCCGGGGTCATCATCCCCGGCGTCCGCGGCTTTGCCCCTTCCAATGCCTTATTAATCACCCGTCCTCTGGACTTCAACCGACTCCCCGCCTTGGGCCTCGCACTTGCCTCCCGCGCCTTGGAGGCCTTCGGGCTCGTCCCCCTGCGTTGTGTCATCCTCAGTACCCTCCTAATCTCCAGCAGATAACTTTCCAGCGCATCCACAAAGCGCTTCGTCTGTCTATGCTTGCTACTAGCACAGATGCTGATCCATTCATCCTTAATGATATATCCGATGCCAAATCCATCGCCAGACGTGGGCCCGAAGCCAAAGTGTCGGAGAGATGGGTTCCCGCAATTGGAGGTTGAGATGATGGTGTTGTTCAGCTTGTCCCAGCCGCTGTCGGCGAAGAGGAGTGGCATGCTGTGTGCCTGCCCGCGAGACGGGGATGAGTTGACTCTGGCTCGATTCCCGTTCGATCGGATAGATGCTTCGTCGCCATCCGCTGATAGAACCGGGTTCCTGCCAGGAGAGCCGACGACGGAGGATGGGTCGCGCTCCGAGGAGCCTTCAGCTGGAGATGAGGACCCATTGCTGCTTGCTGCTTCGGCTCCATCTGCATCCACGGCTTTCTGCCAGACGCTAAACAGGGCGTAGAGATGCCTGTCGCAGCCTTGTGCCTTGGCGCATTCTCTGGTATTTGCCGTGTGCATCTGGCACGCCTTTTTCAGGGCATCGACTTTTTGATGGGGTGGATTCTCCGCCCAGAATGTCTGCACAAAGTCGACGGACTCGGGAGTCACGGAGCGGACGGCTTCGGTGCGTCCGTGGAGGTAGACTTTCGTCATGGCTGGCTCATAGGTGCACTCCACGCGACCATACAAGCCGTAGTATGCCGCCTGGAAGGCCATTTGCACGAAAGCGTCCGGCGAGAATCCCATCCCTGTTATGAAGTTCTTGCCGTACGCAGCGAAGTCGAGCGTGGCAAACTCATTCTGCTGAATCAGATCCGCGAGACGGGTTTCGGCAAAACGCAAGGCGATGCTGAGCTCAGGAATCATATCCCACATCAACTTGTGGGGTGTGGTGTTGACGTCGCCAAAGCTGTCAGGATCTCGCTTGGATGGGTCCGGACTAGTCGATGCCCAGAGACTTGGAGCTTGTCCGTTGATCGTGCGAGCGAATCGTAAGATGGTATCTGTGTACAGGTCACTTGCGAATCGCAGAACGGTATGTCCATCAACGCCAGTGTGCTCAAAGTTGATCCCAGCGCTTCCATTCTTACAAACGATGATTTGCAACTTGTCGTACCACCGATTTGTGCAAGTGCCGATTTGCACACCCTTCTCAACCTGACTGGTTCCGCAGAGCATATTCCCACACAGTTCCGCCCCAGAAGCTGGCTCAGTGTAGTCCAAGCAGAGGATAAAGAGGGCCGAGTCGACTATCCCGAGACACTCGGCGTTGTTGGATCCTTCCTCCCGAGTCATCAAATCTCTCAGCCCGGACCAGACTTTCCTATTCTCGGTACTGAGCACACCCAGAGCGCCCTTGGCTGCCTCGTGGATAGGCGTTTGCTGAGCATCATCGACGATAGTTTGCAGGTTGATCGATACGTCCTTCTCGGTCATGATCAGGTCCGAGTTATCGTCTAACACGTCGAACCAGTAGAACTGGCCATGGCAGAGCACGACGATATGCTTGGCATCTGGATCCTGTCCGATATGGCACCCATTCTCGGTGGGTACCCGGGCTGTCCCGAACAGCCTCGAGTACTGGTACATGCATAGCGGTTGCCCTCTAAAGGTATCCGGCGGTAGCTCCTCTTTCCTCACCGCACGGACAAATGACAGGGCAGACACCACCAGCGAGGCGGCACGAGTGACTTGGTTGTTCCTCGCAGGCGTCGGATCGTCCTCGAGAAGAAAAAAAGGGTTCAAGTTGAGGACGACCGGATTGTCGAAGTTCAGGTAGGAGTCGTACCCTTTCACACGTCAGCCTGGCGCTATAGACATAGCTCATCCAGCCTCACATACAGAACTGCTCAATATAACTCGTCTTGCCAGTGGCATACTTCGTCAGTCTCTCCTGTAGCTCCGGGCCCTCGGCCCTCAAGAACTCATCCACGGCCTGCTGAGTCTCGGCGTGCTCCCGCGAAGTCTGGAGCGGCTTCAGAGCAGCCAGGTATTTGGCAGTGGTGCCCTCCAAATCCGGAATTGGGAGCTTGGGAAGTTTATCCTGAGCGGCAAACGTGATGCCAGGCTTTTGTTTCGGCGGATCACTCCCCAGGGGTGTCTTCATCTCTTTGGGGTACTGGTCGGCCGCTTTTTTTGCTGCTTCAATGGAACGGCCCGAGTCGGGGTAAGTCTGTGGACTCCCTGGCTGAGCCAACGTCTCGTCTAGTGATTTCGGCATGGTAAAAGTGTGGATGGCTGGCGCGGAGGTAGGCATCTTGTCAGTTTTCCGTCTATCCGTAGAGGGGTGAAATGGAGGTGGTGATATGCAGACGGCGGAGAGCGGTGCGGTAGGAATAGAAATAGTGACAGTCTTGGAAGTAATAGATAGGCTAGCATCCCACGAGAGAAGAAGAAAGTTATTATATCTGGGGCACTGGCTGGTTCTCAACTTCCCATCTTCCAGAAACAAACTCTCGACCCGGCCAGATGGATGAGCCATACCCGGGGCATGCACTAGCAGGGGAAGATGCCGAGCGACACTGTGCCGAGCGGTACCCATCGGCCATTTTATCCCCGGGATGGATATATGTATACACCAAAATGATATGCGTACCTTTTTTATTCTTATTTTTATTTTTTTGGGTCGTGGGCGAGATGGTCCGTAATAATGTGATATCCAATCTGAGCGGTGGGGGATGCTGAGATCTAGATGGATCCGAGGGAATGCTTCCTACCTACGTACTGTCTATCAGCACATGTGAAGGCTACCTATCGCAGCTCGGTACCCGAAAGCTTGAATCCCGGGATTGGGTTCGGCCAAGCCGCTCGGGCGAGAGGATGTCTGGGCTTAAGGGATATATACCGGTATACATACTTCGTAGGTGTAAATATATTTATATATAAGGTATATATATATATCTCATGTGGCGAGAGATGGAGATGGAGGAAAGGATGCGAGGCGACTGATAACTAACAGGACAAGAGACAAAGCGGCTCACCTCACTCCAGCTTAGTTAGTCAGTCAGTCAGTCAGTCAGGCAGTCAGGCGATCCCGCAAAGGGCGGAGAGAGAGGAAACGTGATACTTACTAGTACCTGGTAGTAATGCCGGGACTTTGACTTTGACTGTGACTTTGGCTTTGACTTTGGCTTTGAGGATTAGGAGGTTAGGAGGTTACTTAGGAGGTTACGGTAGAAGTTGGAGCTGGGACTGCGACTGGAGCCGAGAGGTGGGGAGGGAATCCGGGGCCGCTGTGGGGGCGTAGTGGGGGCCGTGGGGGCAGCGCCGGGGAGGGTTTATTTGGGATCCGGGTAGAACAAAGGAGGAATGCCATATTTATATCTGCATCGATGGACGCCAATGGTAACAGCTGGAGGTATTAAGTCGTTGGTCTCAGATACTGTCAGTCGCTTGTTTGTTTGATGTTTGTAGCATGTTCGTCTAATCTAATCTAATCTTATCTCGGTAGTACTGGAGGTAAGTACAGTAGTAATTGTAGTAGGTAGTTGTGTCTGGTTATGACGCTGTGCCGAGACATGCATGCATGTGTATTGCCTAAGCGAAGGCTCGGTTGAAACTTGAAAGGAGCATCTTTTCGGGGGAGGTAGAAGAGAGAAAGGTGGGTTTGATTTTGATTTTTATTGATATCGTTCGTTGTATATGTTTGAGGGGGTACCTATATGCATTCACTACCTAGCCGTACGTAAGCTACGTATATACTTTTCATTTTAATTCATGTTCATGACAACGAAGCTCTTGATCGTGTGAGTATGCCGGAGCATAGATACCTACAGACTGCAGCTCTTCTTTGACAACGTGGATGAATGCTCTTCTTGCCTTTACCTTTGCCTCTGCCTTAGCTTTTGCTTCCGAAAAATGTCAGCGTAGCCTTATCACTAAGCCAAACCCGTTTGTTGTTTCCCTTTTCAGTATCAGGCACATCAGATACATTTGAATGCAGGACTCTTTATACCGCTTTGGAAGACCAGAGATGCGAGAGCCTAGCCAACGTAGTTATCACAAATACACAGCTGTTAGAGTAAGACATTCTTACACTAAGAGGTCTGTGCTGTTGCTGCCAAGCAACTCCTTAATAGATAGATGGATAGTGGCTGCTAGTTGAAAGAAGGAACAGCTAGCTAGTATAAAGAGAGGGCTGTACACAGTTCTCTCTCTAGGGATTCCCTCTTTCTTAGATGACTGAATCAATACAATCTGAACCACCTTCTGATTCCTCCTACAGAGAAGATCTATCTTCTAATAACAGCGACTGTTTTGCACAGCAAAACCAATCAAATATCAAGTCCATCCCTCTCGCTATCTTGCCTCCTCTTTCTTTATGCTCATACTCATACTCTCTTCGGTTATTATTCTATCCACTCATATTAATACTGCCATCTCTACTCTCACTGTCATTTGATAAAGAAAAAGAAAAAGATCCTTGATACGTTTTCATCCAGAATGGTTTCTCCTAACCATCCGATGAGATGAAACATGACCGGGACAAAAAAACAGCTTGCAAGCAACCTGCGCTTCAAATCCGATACGACCAAAGTTTTAAGTCGCTCATGATAAAGATGTAATCCCTACGCTTTAACTCCTACTCCTTATCTAGCTGGTTCTTCCTCTCCGCTGCGAAATCCCCCCCTTCGCATTCGGCGCTTCTGGGCTTTGTCTATTGCCTGGGTATTCACCTCGCATTACGAATACTTTGCGATATTCTGATTGAATACTTTGATTTCGCGCAAATCTAGTAATTGATAGCTACCTGACACGTTTCCGGGCATATAATTGAAGAGACCAGCTGCTTGCTCCATGTTCCTGGTTTGAATTGTGTGAAATATTGAAGGTTCGGCGGTGGGGAGACTTCACACCCATTGCCAACACCCGCTCTGATAGGAGGCCTTAGAAAGCTCAAGGAAGGAAGGACCATCATTGATGACATCACGACTCCTTAGCGTATCTTAGAAGTATATAGCCTTTTGTATCCTTTAAAAGAATGATCATCCGGTTTTCTCCCGCTTTGCTTAGAATATTTAACTGGTGACTTACGCAAGGAGCTTTTCGACGCTTACAAAAAGCTGACCAAAGAACCTTTCTTGCTCGTAAAATACGTTTGAACCCAGAACAATCACTTGAAGATTTTGAAGACTAGAGTGCAAACTAGCAGCTTAGTGAACATCTAGATTTGATTAGGCGGAGGATTGCGACGAAGACTTCCACCAACCCTCGAGTCAAGGATCGACAACTTCAAATTCAAACTTATATTTATTAGCTTTAAATTGAATTTTCCTTGTGTATCAAAACAATCACTTAAATATTCTGAAGACTAGAGTGCAAACTGGCAGCCTAATAGACATCTAGATTTGATTGGGCGGAGGATTGCGACGAAGACTTCTACTAACCCTCGAGTCAAGGATCGACAACTTCAAATTCAAACTTATTTATTAGCTTTAAATAGAATTTTCCTTTCGTATCATGAAGAGCTCATAGAATTCATTCAAACTAAGCTGCTTACGATAGCGACGAAATCTTAGTCCAGTCAGAAATTGAACAATGGAAGCAGACGAAAGACGAAGTAATCTATCAGTACTACCAACGAACCATCCTCTCTTTTCCCGCTTTGCCTGGGACATACAACTGTGTCTGAATACTAGCACAGCTCATAAAGGAAATTTTTCTGGCGTGTATATATCTCTTGTCAATCCATATACTGCTATCGAATATTCTGCTCTTGGCACCGCAGCAGCAGAGGAGCTCTCCGTAGTCAATTCTCGAAATGGCCATGTCCATATTTAGATTGCACATCTGGAAGTGAATCTGGCTCTGCGCTCGCCTTTGGCCGGCCACTGCCATCCCAGTCGTCGTTCTGGATGGCCATTGAGTGGCTGAGCGAGAAGGACGGGAGGTATAAAAGCTAGCTGCAGCCTGCCGGGCACGAAATGATCAGCGAGCCTCTACACACACACGATATCAAAAACAGATAATGTGTCCGAGCATAACGGCCAACGAGTTACTATACTGAAGCTAGCTATCCATAGTATTGCTTCGCGGGGGTTGAAATTGGATCGAGTTGATAACCGCTATATATATCTCAAGGAACATCTTAATTTTTTCTCTGGCCGCTTTCTGCCATCGATACGAAGGATGCGTTGCATTGTCAAGATTTCCAGGATACTTAAAGATAGTAGTTATCATACTTGACCAGTCTGTCTCGATTATATGCAATAATCTTACATTTCGCGATCAGTTCATCTTTATCCATACTCAGCACCCAGCCCCCAGGCTTTTTAAAAGTTGAAAACGAAGAGCACCTCTCGCTTTTGCGAATCGCCCCACTCGCTGTCTGCTGCGACCCCGTGAAAAATGGTGCGAGATGCTTACCCTTCGGCATTTTTTCCGGCTATGGGAAAGACAGCGCTTTCCTGTCAGCTGCTGGTCCACATAGTTGATGTTGCTGGCGTCTTGTAGAGAGCTGGTGAGACTCCACCAAATGCTGAGCTTTCGTATGTATATACATATATATATATATATATATATATATGTAATAGGATAAACAACCGGGAAGCAGCAGCAGCAGCAGCAGCAGCAGCAAAAGACTTCTCTCAGCTCGGATAATTCACTTTTCGCGTTCACCGGATAGAGCTGGCCTACGTAGTCTTCATGAGATGCTAATACTGCTCTCTTGAGTACTTTGAACGTGATCTTCGTAGAGCAGATACATTGTTTCGGATTGCTGAAGGATACGAATGGAAGACAATGCATCATTCGCGACTATATTTATTGCATTCGAATACCTCATCATGCCATTCGGACTGTGTAATGACCAGTCACACTCCAGACCTGTGTGGGAAATGGCTGAGGGTTACGCTCGACTTGTCTGTGGTGGTTTCCCTCGATTTTACGTATCATGCTTTCGTTTAGAGTCGCAACTACAGGTTGGCAAATGAACAGCAGCCTGCAGCATTTTTTTTGACCTGACAACATTTACAGTCTTTGGCAATATTACGAGCGAAGTGACACATATCGAATCAGTAGCGAGAAAACAGAAACTGGTCCCCTTGAGCGAATTGTATATATCAGGAACGCGCAAGGATCTAACACTTGAATAGCGGAAAATAGACATAAGGTTGGAAAGAGATAGACGTCCTCGGCTCTCACCTCATTGTTCCGCTTTCTCATCACCTTTCCTTTTTTTTTTTTTTTTTTTTTTGCTCCTCAAAACAATCTCTCAATCTGAAGGCATTTTACAGGCTTGATGAGAAGGAGGGATTTTATTCAACAGGAGAGGGGCGAATTGAGAGTTCTGTATTCCAAACCCAGACCTGCTGTTGCAGACAGCAGAACTATCCAACCCCCTTTCATATATGCAAGTCCGAAGCTCCTGAAACCCTGGTGAGCCCGAGGTTAAGTGAGACGCTTATCCACGCTATTCACCACCATCATTACAATTCACGTATATGGAGCGATTTCCGGGCAGATGAGGTAAGTTCGAAAACACATATAGATCCCGGCGGAACTTATTTTGGAAGTGTATAGTGTTGTTTGAATCCATGGATGCATGACTAAGCAGTGACAGATGCAGCTCAAATCAGGCTTAAAGTTACCACAGTCTTTTAGCCAAAAGCGTCATGTAACACAAGTGCGTATTTTAAAACAGAAAAGGATGACAGAAAGAAGACCCGTGACAGCAATAGCGGCAAAGTGCGATTCACTGGTGCAATGAGAGCAAGCAATCCGCACAAAAGCGAGGGTTTCTATCCACTGGGGTTGGCATTGCTGCTAGCCTCTAGTTTCGCTCTACTCATGGAAAAGAGTTTCTCGACGTCAGAAAGCGTAGAAATCACCGCTGGCTTATCCCAAGTGCAAGTGCCGATTGGAAGGTCCGAGGGGAGAATATAACTTAGCCTCCAAAGCCTCTCTAAACTTTTCGCGCGCTGTACGCTACTGCGACCCATCTCGGTCCATCGACGGCCTGATTTTCTCGCTTATTTGAACGGGCCAAGTAAACAATGCCAGACGTGACCTTCTACAAAGTGACTGCAAGACCTTGATCTCTTTGATTCGTGATCAGGCGCAAAGAGAAAATTCACGAAGAGTATTCCATGGAGCAAGCAGAGAACCTAGGATTACGTCGCTTGGATTCTTTACTCGAGATTCTAGAAAGCAGATTGTGTCTCAGCGCGCACAATTGAAAAATTCAATATATTATTAATGCGTTTCTGTTAGAAGCACAGTGATGATAATAACAAGCACCAACCTCCACTACTGCTACCACTATTACCATCACCACCAGCACTACGTCGCGTTCCCTCCTAACCCTATTCTCAATCACCCTTTGCGCGTCCTCCAACTCGAGTTCCCACTCACAAAACACCGTCACAGAAACGTTCACCGGCCGGGTGTAAGCAGCGATAACCCCATCATCAATCCACACCTCTCTCACTTCTGCACCAGTCAGAGTCCCAAGGAAGTAACCAATATCTATCAAACCATCCCCACTCAAATCCACACATATCCTCAACACCACTCCCATCCCCGACTCGGTATTCTCCAGCTCTCGGGCAACTCTCATGCACAAGTCGAGTCCTCGGCTGAGCTTTTACGAGGTGTAGGATGTAGGATAGAGGGCAAATGTGGTCTCAGATATATCTGTCTGGCCCCGTGACCTCTGGGAGACCGGTCTTGGATTTCATATCAGCGCAACATGCTGGAGATGGGATATCGGGATGAGGTAGCCCAGCTCTGTGTTTCCGCCGCTCGTATCAAAGAGGAGGAGCAGAGACAGTAGCGAATTTCGTGATGCGTTGGTCCGGCTGCAGGTCTTCAGGCGACCGGGTAATGAGAGACGAAGGCGTGGATATGGATGCTGCAGGTGTGTTGAGAGAGTAGAGGTCTTGCAGAGTCGCTTGTAGCTAAGAGGCGCTTTGGGTAGACGTGAGATGGGCTGCTAGGAGTGGATGGTGCTGGTCGGAGAGGGTGTGGTGTGGGAGGATGAAGATTGTGTGTCTGGAAGAGCCGGTGGAAGAATGCCGTCTGTTGTGCGGATAGAATGTAGTGGAATAGGGGCTCGGTATTGAGTGAGAGCGGGGAAAATCGCTTGAGGCTGCTGAGATTGTGAAGACCGTGAGTGCTGAGTTTTATTGGAGGGCATATAAATATCTTTTGAGAAGCTTGAAGGGGCTATCGTCTGGTCGGGCTGAACAAGATCGCGGGGCGAACATAACACAAGCTTACAGACATTGTCTGTTCATCCGCACTCGCATCGAGAAGTGGCTGCGGTTGCCAAACATGGCGTAAAAAAATACATGAACTCAACGTGCGGAAGACGGCCGTGGCGATGACCCAGCCCAGTCGTGTCTATCCTGTACAAAACACATCAACGCCGGCTTCACACCCATCAAAAAATTCTATCATTCCTCTTCCGTCTCACCCAAAAGCCTTGCCTCGCCAATTTCCCTGATTTTTTCACCCAGTACGTGTCTCTCGTACCTCGAGGCTACCTTGCCAGCAGCCTCAATCATCCTACCAGTTCTATCCTTGAGTAAAGTAACCATTTCCAAGGCTCGCATACCTCTCTCCTCGCCCTCACGGCACTCTACTGCCATCATCTGTAGCAGTGTCTTGTCAAGTTCCAGCTCCATTCTCGCAAGTGCTGCACGCTGTGTGTGAGTGGCTTTTGTGTTGTTGACCAAATCTTGTTGCTGCGAAGTCAGAAGGCTGTTGAGCACATAAGCACCTTCCAGCTTTTTCAGCTCGTCGCCATCGTTCTCTTCAACTTCCATATCCCCATTGCCTCTGTCCGGTTTCGAATTCGACGACAATGGAATCTCAAATTCAAACTCTGAAAGTAATGGACGCGGAAAATAGGGGTATTGATCACCTCCTTTGAGAATGATGCAGTGGAACTTGTTATCGGCGACGGCGACGGGGAAGTAGGTTTCTGTCTTCCGACCTGATGCAAGGCGGGAGAGAAGCTTGGTATCTAGGAGAGGAACCCAGACGGCTTGTGATGGCTCCCGCCAGTGAAGAAGGGTCAAGAGAGTTCCAGTCGAATCATAGATACAAGGGTCCTAGATGAAATTAGCAAGAGGCGGCAAGACTTTGAGTAATTTCTCTACGCACTCCATTATCAGAGAAGAACACACTCTTTAGTGTCTCGCCGTCTGGAAGAGCTACCACATCCTCACTTTGACAGATCTCGTCTCTCTTGATGTTCTGAATAGTATACAGTAGCGTAGCATTACCATCGGCACCGACTGGCCCATTTCCAAGGGTAAGCACATAATCTCGCCAGCTTGCACAAGTGACTGCAGGACTGCTCTTCTGTCTATAGACTCTGTACGGAATACCAAATAGCGTGTATACTCTAACATAATTGGCGGTAGTGGTGACTGTGACGAATGAATCGCTCAACGAGATCGCCGTCACATCCTCACCCTCCGGTAATGGGGTTCGCCAATCCGACCGGGCCGTCCATGTTTCGTGTGGTCGATAGAATATAGTCGCTGGTGTATCATCATGTGCCGGGCACGAAAACAGGGCACCATTTTCATTCAGACACGCTTTATCATACAAGAACGTGTCTGTGAAATGAAAGTCGCGATGATATTCATGGTCGTAGAACTCCACAGTCACAGTATGATGAGTATCCTGGTCAACTGTCCAAACGAATCCAATGAGGTTCAGGCAGAGATATTTCCTATTTCCACGCCAGGGTGTTGATCCTGGTTGGAAAGACTCGTGGTATTGCGGCTCCCAATTTTGAGCGCGTCTCTTGCTTATGGGGCCTGAAATGTGGGCTTCCCCACTGGGTCTTTTCCCGTTTCCATTCAGTCGCAAGGCGTATCCAGCACCATCATCATCGACAACGAAATCGTCCTCATCGCCCATGATGTCTGACCCAAGTATATCATCGAGACTGTCCGGTGTGCCCCTTCGAAGACCACGGTTCGGGATGTCTTTCTGACCATTGGCCGTTGGTCTTCGAACATTCGCTGACATTTCAGAGAGAGGATCATGGATGAATGGGGAGGGCTGAAGGGGTAGTCCGATTGAGTTTGCATGTTCCGCTGGAACGAAGTCGTTGTAGATGTAAACCTCACCCTCAGTACTGGTGAAAGAGAGCAGGTTTTTGGTAGGGTGCCAGGCCAGGTCCATAACATTGGCGTAGTCGTAAGTTGCAATCACCTTCTGGGTCTTGGTCGCCCAGAGAACCACCTTTCTATCTTTTCCAGCAGATACCAGCATTGCTCCATTAGGAGACCAAGCCAATGCAGTGATATCCCCATTGTGCCCGTTCGCGAATGATCTTTGGTTCTCCCAGTCTCCTCGGGACATCACTTGGATATCTCGTGTTGCTGTAGGAGCAGCGAAGGCTCTGCCGTCCGGATGCCATACAACCTTTGTAGATACCTCGTCCTCCGTCTCTGCGATCCGGATCAACCCATCCACCTTTCGTATGAGCTCTGGCGTATCGTCCTGGATCGAGTAGACGTAAACTATCCCATCAGTACATGACAGTGTGATATATTTCCCAGTGGGATCGAAGGATACGTGTTTAACGGGTTTCGGCTGTTCTCTCAAGGTCATCACTGAGCTTGTCTCGTCTGTCTTGATGATCTTGACAATTAATTCGTCACTAGAAACGGCACACCATTGTCCATCAGGCGAAAGGGTGACATCGCGGATCGGGAGAGAGCATCGTGTCAGGTACTTCTCGTAGGACATGGTCTCCAAGGAGAACCTGCTAATGTTCCCATCCTCGGAACCAACAACGAAGAAATCGTTCTGGGGATAATGATCAGTAGGGATATTCACCCGCTTACAGAGTTGCTTACAGTAGATGCAACTCCAGTATTCTGCTCAGGACAGTCGTCAATATTGGTAGGCTCCCCATCAAAGCCCGTCTTGTATACACGCGTGGTATTGTTCGAGCCCACAGTGATGAGTTTCGTTCCATCGGGAGTATAGGAGAGATACGTTGGTCCTCTGGTGTGGGCGGGTCTGCCCCGCATACGGACTTGAGTCGTCGTCGTCGTCGCCATCTTGCTTTTTTGTAACCGCAGGGTGGGATCGTTCTGAAGGGCGATGAGGAGGTTGAGAAGAACGATTTTAACATGGAGACGCGTTTCTACTCTATTTACGCGAACCCCTGGCGAATGCGCGACTGGGCTTGATACCCCACACAAGGCTAAAGATATCTCGCATCCTATCTACATAACACCCTCAGAGGTATACACCACCAACTATGTCGCGATCAACAGACCCAGGCCATTTCTTCCAGACCGATGCTGCAGAAGCCACTCGTGCTCGAAGATCTGCCAAGTCCGAGAACAAGAATGGAAATCCGATCGTCCTCCAGTCCAAGATCCTGAGCTGCATCCTCGACCCATTCTCTTCCAACTCCATCTACATAGCTGAAAGTGCTGGCTGTGTGCGTAGAATTAACGTCGAAGTATGTAGGAGAAGAGGTTTTTGTGATCTTCATCATTGCTTACAGAAGACAGACTCGCGATAAAAAGACCGTGTTCAGAGGGCCAACTGCCCCCGTCACGTCAGTAGCTATTGGTGGTCACGGAGGCTCTACTGTGTTCGCTGGATGCTGGGACAAAGATGTATGGAGCTGGGATAGGGAGACTGGTGCCGTGGGAAGAAAGTATCAAGGACACTCCGACTTTGTGAAGGCTGTTTTATGCGTGAAGCTCGATGGAAAGGACGCAAGTATCCAGTTCAAGCCATACCGAACCTCTATTGACTTTCACTTTCCAGATTCTAATATCTGGTGGTGCTGACAAGAAAATCATTGTCTGGGATACGATCACCGGCGAACGCTTACATACACTCAGGGACAATTCGGATACTATGATGACCATACAAGATCTAGCAATCGATCCTGAGGACTCGTCGGCTTCGGAAATCGTACTCGTCTCCTCGGGTAGTGACCCTCACATTCGGCGATGGCGTATCAGTCTCTCAGCAGCGGAACAGATAAATGATTTCACTGGAGATACCACGGCCCAGATCGTACCCATAAGGACTACTATTCTAGAGCATGAAACCAGTGTCTATAAGTTGTTGTTCTCTGGGGAAGAGGAATATTCAGATCTCTGGACAGCTAGCGCGGATGGCTCTGCCAAGTGCTTATCCAGGGCAAAGAACTGGGCTACAGAAGAAAAATATGAGCACGGAGACTACGTGCGGGATGTGGCTGTAACGGAGGACTGGACTATCACCACTGGACGAGATGAAGACGTCAAAGTATGGAATCGCGCAACAGGAAAGCTATGGCATACTTACGATGGCCACTATCAGGAAGTAACTGGCTTGGTCGTTCTAAAGGGAGAGAATCAGGTGGTAAGTGTCAGTATTGACGGCACGATCCGCATCTGGGGCTTGGCAAAGGCAGATCTGGACAAAGCGCGGGAAGAAGCTGCAGAGAAGTTGAAGGGCCTGAAGCATGAAGAAGAAAATGCCCAGCCAAAGAAAGGCCTTCTTACAGCCGAGGAGGAAGCTGAGTTAGCCGAGCTCATGGACTCCGACGATGAGTGAGGAACGTCTGGCTCGGTAACATCTCCTCTCTCCCCAAGGGTTGGTTCTCCCACGTACTTTCCGCTGTTCGGTCAAATTTCTGTGATCGCTGCTCCAGCGCCTCTTATTTCATCTAGGGGACCACACCAGTGTCTCATATGTCCCCAGTCCAGCCTTTCAAAACTCCAAAGTCGCTATACTTAAGGGCGCACGAATGCTTTCTCCGGCCATAACTCCTATCTCGGGACTACAGAAGTCGGTACCCGCCTTAGGCCCTGGATGACTCTGCTAGCCGCAATCACCAGGCTTGAACGAGAGAAACAAGCCCTTGTAACAACACGATGAATGATCCTTTGTCGTTTGTGGACTCAAGACCCGAAGAAAAGAAGATCTCGGATCTTTGTGTGCAAGTGAAACTGGTGTCTATAACTCTCGCCTAGTCATTTCCAGGTTGTGCATTTTGGCTATGGCGTTTGAATGTTTACGATCGCGCAATATTGCCGGGCTCCTGTCGCACAAAAATGCTGGGAGACAATTGAAGACATTCTGTTGGGCAGACCTGCCTCGAGGTATCCCGTGTTTGGCACCCGCTAACCGGATACTACTCGTGTTTTTTGCCCCATGGCGGCGGCGGCCATGTCTACGAGCCTTCGTTTTTGTATCAGCAAGGCTATCTTCATACAATCTACTTGTCAGATGGGCTTGCCTGACCAACTGCTCTCGTAAGTAGAAGGATGAACTTTCCGGAGAGAATTGGCAGACGATCCTGGGCTTACCTTCCTTGTTCCAGCTACGAAAACGCATGGAGTTGATGCCGAGCTTCGGAGAATTCTGTTCGATATCTCAGGGGCCCGCAAAAATTTTATATGCTAATGCAGGTTCCCATGAACAGGTCCAAATCTGCATCCCCTATGCTCGCTTCCGTTCAATCCAGGGGTGAGCTGTGCTGCCCTTCCGAGACCTCGACCAGGACCCTCGCTATCTCACCATAGGCTCACTACTCGACAGGTGGGTTGATCCAAAGGGGTCTCGGAGACGGACCACCTACTTTGACAAAGAAAAAAAAAGGGTTTCTTTCGACATGCCTCTTCGTGGAACAGTGCTGGTATACAGTACGGCCAGCCGCATATAAGATCTCCAAGGTATCTCTGGGGAGACCAGAAGCTCAATTCTCCTCACGCCATCATTGCCATGTCCTCTTTCACGTGGGAGTTTTGACAGTCCTTCATTTCCACCTTCACCCGACGATCTACACCCGGATCTCCAACCGGACCACGAGTATAAATTCGGTTCCGGAAAGCGAACCGGTCCCTGGACCCTGGTTCTGTTGCCGCTTGCAATAAACGCTAAGAATCACCACTAGCTTCTGCAGGTTTCCTACTCCCTCATCCAGTAGGTATTCGTCTGGCAAGATCCACAGCAGATCCACGGCTGCAGTTTTCTACCAGACGCTGCTTAGCTTTGCTTCGATTGTGTAGATGGAGGTGTACGGAGCAGAAATCTTGCTGCTGGAAGGCAGCCCTTGGAAAGAAGACTCAATAATACATGTGAGCCGATCAAAAGCCGGACAAGCTGCCGTGCGGAGTGGCATTCGTAAGTTCATCTCTTGTACCTCTCTTCTCTGCTCTAAATCTTCCTCTTTGCTTTGACTCTTCCCCTCTTCACTACCCGTCCCCAAATGGAGATGAGGAAGAACGGCTACTTTATTGTCCTGGAGGGTGACACCAATATTATATCAACACAGCTCAGACTTCTTCCACCTTCCCAAAAGATCTTGATATTGCCCAATCTGCTAGAATCACAATCTCCAACAGATGAAAATGACGCGTTCAACGCCCGCACTTTCGTCCAAGTTCTCCAGACGGCCCTTTCACAGCGCACGGAGACTGCACGCTCATTCCTGCAATCTGCCACGCCCACACAGCCGAGGCTGGTCCTAGCGGTCCATGGCAGTGTCAGTGCCCGAGCAACATGTATTTCGATGATCTCCCAGAAAGTCACGCACGGAAATGTTGCGCAAGCAGAGGCCATCCTCAATGATCTTGTCAGGGGTGGCGTGGCTGGCTTGGTAAAAAAGGGCGAGGTGAAGCCTGTAGAGGACCTGGTGCAAACTACTGGGGATTTAGATGACGGCAATATTCACGACTCGAAGGAAAAACTCGCAAGGACCAGCTCAAAGGCGTGGGAAATCAAGGGCCCTGAACCACGATTGGCACCCTTGACATACGAAAGGTCCGGCTGGGAACGGGAATCCTCGCGCCTGATTCCTCCCCAGAGTCTCGTACTAGAACATCCAACACAGATCATCTTTAAGCTGACTGAAAGCTACCCCACCATCGATAAAGATTCTCGAATCGTCTGGACGGTTTTGAACGTACCAAACCGCCGCGAATTGAGCCATCTAAAAACACGGATGCCATTTGGATTTCCACCAGAAGGTGCGAAGCTTGACTGGATCGCTCAGGAACTGAATGCGCCGATGGGAGACACCGATACTGAGGCCGACGAAGGCCCTTACTCCACGAACGGTCCAATATCTCCTGCGGACTCCATGACTTCATTGCTCATGACCCCTGCCGTGATCGGTGAGGCATGCGTGGTGAATATCCAAAAATCTTCGCAGTTCGATACATCAGGGAAAGCACAGTCGGCGGACGGCTTTCGCCCTTTTTGGTTCGAATCTAGTGAGCCCAGGTCTCAATCTCTCGAGCAAACCCGATCGCAATGTCAGCTAAGAGATGAGCCTCAATCTTCCACTGCTTCGTACATGGGCTCGAAAGAAAAGCAAAGCTTCCCATCCCTCCCGACCGCGACCTCTAGGAAGGCCTCGAAGACGACCATCATTATAAAATCGCCAACTTCAGCAAGGACGACGTCGCTGAGGTCTCCGCGGTCTTCGAAGTCTTCCGTCTCGGAGATAGAGATGACGGAACAAATGGCTGCTGCCGAGGAAGTTGCCATCACTGAGTCAGAAGAGGTGCCCTTTGTGGCCGTATTTGAACTCGTTGAAGATATCATCATCCACTTTGTCGACGACACGCCCAACGAGATTTTTGAGTCTGTTGTGCAATCATATAAGACAGGCAGTTATCCGGCATACGTTTCGACCACCACCATTCCAGAATCATCGTCATCCACTCCAACGACTACCGAGGATGAGGATGAGGAATACAAACCATCAGTCAAGGCGTTGTCCACGTCGAGTTTGCAACAGGACGTCGAGCGGGACATTAGGCCGAGCTCCTACGTGACATCAACGTCTGTCGATATTGGTGACAAGAAATCCCAGCAAGAGTATGATCCGTTCGCCGTGAACGATAGCATCAATTCGAGCTATCCGTCTGTGTTCAAGCAGCAGTGGTCGTCGAATGGCCACTTGCGGATACATTCGACTAGCGAGACAGACTCGAGTGTTAAGCCGCCAAAGCCCCCTCTTCTCTTAACGCAAGAGATCGACAATGAGATTGCGAAGAAGTTCGTCCATTTCTCCCCTGCAAACCCTGATAGTGCGATCAGTGTCCAGAACTCCTTCCGCCAACTACTCGATGTTTATTTCCCGTCCAAGGAAAATTACAGCCAGTACTACTACGCAGCAGCACCTGAAGCTGACAGGCTCTGGAAACCAGTGTTCGGGAACGACGAAACCTCTACCATTAGCAATGAGAGAGGGACCGTGGACCAAATTCTTGCTTTTGGCAGGGAAGAAGGGGTACAGAAGGATTTCTTTTACCAGATCTCTGGGCGAATCGAGAAGCTCGGCACGAAAAAAGATGGCTTGAATCTGAGTGGGAGGATCGATATCAGGTATTTTCACCTCACAAGACCTGGAGGTGACGACTGACCTATTCAGATATCTGATTTCCAGAGTGATGCAAATGCATATCAATGGCCCACCAGCAGACGAATCAGCAAGCCCCCTCTTGGATCCCGAGCTTCTGGCTGCTCTCCTGATCCCTCATCTCGAAGCATACCTTGCCAACAACGCCACGATTCGGCTTCTGATCCTTCACTACACAGCCGCCGACCTGCCCATCGTCTTCGCCCTCCGCAAACTCCTCGGCACCGATATCTTCAAGATCTCCGGCATCCTAGATTGTCTCGCCTCGGACCCCCCACCCACCTCTCAGCCCAGAACATCATCTTCCCGTCCTCGATCACCCGTTTCCTCTGTTCTCCCCGTGTCGCCGGAGAGCATCACTCGCCGCCAACAACAGCATACCCGCCTCAGCTCTATGAAGACCCTCTGCCACCAAGCCTCAAATTCGCTCAACAAACACCATTCTCAAACTTCAACCTTCGTCAACTCACCTACGGTGGCGGCCCAAGCGAAGGCCCCAACCGCATCTTTCGCAAAAGCCAACTACCTCCTTCCAAGCACAGCCACCGACCAAGAGATCACGACTTTCATATCGAATATTCGGAAATCACTGATGGATATCTCGGATTTTTACACCCCCGAGCCAGAACTAAAACCCATCTCCATCGAGCGTCACCCCATACCACCGAGGACCGTATCGCCCCTAGAACCTATCAACCGCGATTCCGGGTACCCAACCTCCTCGTATGCTGGCTCCCCCTCAGAATTCTCGCGACCCACAGGCTCTGATGCACCGACCTCGCACGCAGGCTCCCTCTTCTCCACCACCCCAGGAGACATCGCGCATGCCAACAACAGCGCGTACACGGCCTCTATCGAAAGCAGCAACGCGCGGTCCTCAAACCATCACAAGTACGAGGCGATTGTGGCGAGCGAGAAGGAGAGGAAGGACAAGAAGCAGTGGGAGGACTTCTACATCGCCGAAGACGACAGCGACGACGATGAGTACGACAAGATGACCCTCGGGCGGGCGCATCAGCGGATCGTGCCCGAGGTGGGAAAGGTGGGAGAGAAGAGGCCGACGAAGAAGGCGCTAAAGTGGCTGGGGCTATCGTAGTGTTTTGTCCGCTGGTTCTTTCTCTCCTGCATTTGTAGCGACCGTCTCGGCTATTTACATCGTGTCTGTTTTTGACTCCCGCGGTTCGCTATCTTATTACATGAATCAAAATTCTGGTATTTTTCCGATGTACAGCTTATATCCCTTCCTGATTTAGGCGTAGCGAGGAGGTGACGAGACTGAGGTACATGGGAGTGGGAGTGGGAGTGGGGGTGGGGGTGGGAGTGAAGTAGAATGGAAGTGATAGGAAAGTGGTAATGAATATATATGGGTGGAAATGTTAAACCTATACCAGGTATCTTTGCAAAAATCGTGAATGCCAGGATAATTTTCGATCAGTTGAATGAATTATCTACACGTATTAGATCTCCAGATATGGTGTCCCATTTAGGTTAGCATTATCTGATTTGCAAATTCCAATACATTCTGGCTGACGCCCAATGCTACATTATAGAGAGGTGTATTTTGGTATCTGTGAAGAGTTTAAACCCAGTTCTGTGACTGCTCCAGCCTGAACGCCAATTAATAAACCTATCCAGCCATAGGCCCTTCCCCGACGCCAAATTTCAGTTTTCTCTACACGGATCCTACTGCCTACGATTAGCCCTCTCACTCTCCCCAGAATAACAAGCCGGACAAGGCGCGCCCTCATTTCCATTCCTCTTCATTCCTCCGAGCAACCAATCTGTCAAGCCAACGACCCTAGCACCGACTCCTCGTTCCCAGTTTCCTCCTTCTCGTACATGTTCGATGGTGTGGCTTAGAATCCTGCCCTCCTCATCGAACTCAAAGATGAACAGTCCCGTGAACTCCTTACTATCGTCCTCGCCGTTCCCACCGCCCAACCACTCTGTAATCTTGTCCACGCTCTCCCTCGCTCCAATACCCTTGTAAAATGCACCGATCCCCTTGCCCTTCGTCTTTCCAACCGTACGCCACCGTACGATCAGCTGTTCCTGGCGAGTTGCGGACGGTAACCGGGCATTCGAGCTAGACTTGACCATCCGTTCGGATAAGATGGTCAGGCGAACCTCGCCTACGAGGGGAACGCGGCCCCATGCTATCGGGGAGGTCCATAACGCAGCTGAATACGCGACACGGCCGGATACCGTGGGTAGATGTGGGTGGGTGGAGGGGAAGAGGTGAAGACTGATATGCGGGGAGAGGATTTCCTGCGGAAGAGGCGATTGCAGGAGTGTTGGGAGGCGCTCTTGGAGGATTCGGAGAGCTGTCGAGTGTTAGCAGCTGACTTGTACGTGGTCTGTGATCTACAGGAGGGGCAGATGAGGTGGACTTGCTCTTCCCCAGCTTCACTGTCCGTTCGTCTGGTTTGCGCGGGTTGGATGATAGAGGCGGAGGATGGATGTTCAGCCGTGGCACAGCTCCTGTGAACCAGACATCGGAAAAGACTTTGGGATCTGGTCGGACTGTTGCGAGAGATCTCGTTGCGCTGTTTTCAATAGGGTGTACTGCGCGAAGGGGCCGACAGCTCAGGACGATGGAGGAGAACCTCGTGACTTTATGTGGTGCGGAACGAATGACACTGCAAGGCGTCGACATCAGCTTGAATAGTTGAGTATGGCTTCAAACGACATCAGAGATGTAGTCTCTGTGTTTGCGAAAATGCGGCTTGATGACGAGGTTGAACAAACTATAAGTGAGATGCAGAGAGTCGCTTTATCGGCGATAGGCAAAAAGACTAGAAAGGTAAAGTATCAAAGCCGGCGGTCTAGAAGCAAGAGGCTAAGGCGAACTTATGTTTTGTCTCTGCTAGAGACTGGGAATAGGAAATCGTCACTGGATGATTCATTTTAAACTTAGAAACGAGAGGCCTTGATTCACCAAAACTGTGTACTTAGCCAGATATATCTAAATTCGTCCAGTGACTGATGGCAACTTCTTTGAGCAGGGGTTCACACATCACGTGCACTAGGTAGGCGAGTGACCCGACCCTTTGAACTCCCTAGCGGCGATACGAAGCCTTGCTCCATCCCCGACTCCCCAGGTATTCAACTCAACCCAACTCAACCCGACCTCCACCTAATCCACATCGCACCTCCCATCTTCAAGAACCCTAGCACCATCGACCCTTTGCATACGGAGACCACTTGCAGTCGCCATCATGAATCCAGAGTAGTGAGTCCCCTTGCCCAGCAATATAATATGCGGCAAGCAGCCGCTTGCAACTACAGGCAAGCCTGCATACCTAGAAACGATACTGACTTATTACGCTGCAGAGTACCCTTCTCTCATGGCCTCTTGCATACCGACTATGGCTGCCGGCGCTTTCGATCCCCTCAAGAACCTCGGAGAGAATAATTACGAACCCTCTAGATACGATTACCTCTTCAAGCTCCTTCTTATCGGAGATTCCGGTGTAGGAAAGTCCTGCTTGCTGTTGAGATTCGCAGACGATACATACACTGAGAGCTACATCTCCACCATCGGTGTCGACTTCGTACGTTACACTATGCAAGGGAGACTGGGATAGACGCTGATAACTTGGCAGAAAATCCGAACAATCGAGTTGGACGGAAAGACTGTGAAGCTGCAGATTGTAAGGGCTCTGGAGTTACAGGCCTGGAACACGAACGCTGATGGAATCTAGTGGGATACTGCGGGACAGGAGCGCTTCAGAACCATTACTTCCTCTTACTACAGAGGTGCCCACGGCATCTGCGTGGTCTACGATGTTACAGATATGGACTCGTTCAACAACGTCAAGCAATGGCTCCAGGAAATCGACAGATATGCCACGGAGGGCGTCAACAAGCTGCTCGTAGGCAACAAGTCGGATATGTCAGATAAGAAGGTCGTCGAGTACACAGTCGCAAAGGTACGTGATGTTCACATGCGCTTCATCAGATGATCCGAAACCGCAAGGCCCCATCATCATGCGAAGCCCCGTATTTATCAACATTACTAACCCATCTCTTTAGGAGTTCGCTGACAGCCTCGGCATCCCCTTCCTCGAGACATCTGCCAAGAACGCATCCAACGTCGAGCAAGCATTCTTGACCATGGCCCGTCAAATTAAGGAAAGAATGGGTACGACTACAGCGAACAACAAGCCTACAGTACAGGTTGGACAAGGACAGGGTGTGCAATCGGGGTCGGCTGGTGGCTGCTGCTAAACACTCGTCTTTGTGCTGCTCTTGAACGAACGGAACGACTAGCTCTTTCTTCCCTTTCTGCGCGCGCATTAGAACGACCTCTTGTCATTTGGATCGGCCTGCCGCATAATCCCATCCTACATACATTCACGCTCTCCTCTTTTCCCCTGGAGTTTCGGACACCAACATTCGTTGCATACGCAGGGGGGAGTAGACGGATGAAGTAATAGGTGACGGAACGGCTATGGAAGAAAGGAGAATCATTGTTGTTACTGTGCCTAGGCGTGCGAAGGGAAACTTGGGGATCGGGAACCTTTGATAATATGCCTTCTCTCTTCCGACTTTTACTATTTCCAGGTTTTTTTTCCTTTTTTTGTTAGGCCAAGGGTGCTTTTAGGCGATGCGATGCTTTGCTTTGCTTATGCGCGGTTCTCTTCGTGTTTGTTATTATGACGGTCCGGGTTGAGGGGCAATCACAATCACATCGTACTCGCGAGCCCGCCTCGTGATGCCTCACAGAATGATATTGTTTTTTCCTTCGTAAAGAACCGTCGCGACGCTCAAGTGAGCACCGCCAGGTGACCTTTAAGGCAAGGAAGAAAATTACTCGCCCAGATGACAGAATCGGGTTGGGTGCAGGTGTTGATTCTGCAGCCTGTTTGGCGCCGGTCACGCGTTCATCCTTCTCTAAGAACTAGACGGCCTCACTTTATGATGATTGATCTCTTCTCTGCCTGCTAAATACCTCCAGATGGAGCGGTTTCAAAAAGAATGTTGGGGGCTCATCGTGGTAGGAACTCATGAGATTGACACGACCATACTGGCAGGATAACATCAGCTGGACAAATAGATGCAGGAGACTCGTTCAATACATACAGACTCCATACGATGGAGTTCGTCTTCTCTACATTACAAGCCCCTATCTCGAGTCAGGGTCTGCACTACAAACCTCTATCTCGAATCAAAGTATGCCCGGATTTTTCCTTTTCGCCGTTGCTTGTCGCTTATGTTTTGAAAACGGGAATGATATCGGCAGCAAGGTAACCCGTACTTGGGATCGGGATCAAAGGTCTAATAAGTAACTACTTGGGCTTCCACTCACATTATGGCTATGATGATTGCTATTTCGGGATCTCATTGCGTAGAGAATATATATATTATCCTCTCTTTCTCTGAGTTGGTGTTTGGCTTAGCTGTTATCGAGTCTTGACCTTGCTGAGCTGACTTGCTGAGCTATCTTTCTATGGTTATCAGAGAAAGAAAGGTTTATTAGTTGCTGGGAGAGGGGGCAGAAAGAAGGCTACACTAGGCGCTGAGCGCAGTTTGGCTGGATTTAGCAGCCTCGTTGCCGTTACCGTTGCTTACCTTTGCCAGATTGGAACATAGCGATAATCATTCATTCATTCATTCATTCATTCACTGACTTGACTGTCTGTTTCTCATCCATCCCTTGGATTCATTCATCGGTTTTGTAACAATAGTTAATCCTATTAATCCTCGCCATCCCCTCTAACACTTGCGTGTAAGTACCAAAGCGCATACTGTGCCCTGCGAAAGATCGCCACTCCCTAGGCCAGCCAGGATGAGAGCTCACAGCAAACCATGGCGATTGACTAACCAATGGGATCCCACGTGTAGTCCTTCCTCTACACCAAGGGACCGAATGTTTCGTCCGGCTGTTGGTTTCATGCGCTGTTTGATCTCGTACCCGGCTGTTACTGCCCCCCCCCCCCTCCACCTCTTTTTTCTTGAAATGTTCTGCGCTTGTTATATCTTGACAGCGCTGGTGACTCTGGCAGTAGAGTTGTAGTTGTAGTGGGTGGGTGGGTATATTGAAGAAGGATAGTTAGCTAGTTTTCGAGCCCGCAATACCTAGCTGGACCTTTCTCGGACTCTCGTGTCGACAGTCTACTGACAGACTAGGGCAGTATAAGCGCCAGATCTCGAGCAACACTTCATTCATTCGTAGTAGTTCGTCGATTGTAGCAGCAAGCTAGAGTCAGAGAGAAGGATAAAGAAGTACTTGTACTTTGATCATCGACAACCCCCTCTTTGGAAAATCAACAGACAGAATAGCGCTGATATCCACCCAATCCTGTTTCTCAATGGCTTGACTAGTCTCTTTCAGTGAGTGTTTTTGGAGGGAATTGCGTGTTGAACTAAGCTTCTGGCTCGTGTATGTGTATGAAGTGGCTATAGAGTTAGTACACATCTATCTGTCTTTCGAGTTTTGCTTTCCGGAGAATTTCAGCGGCATTAAGGAGCTTTCGGTTAAGTTGAAGTTCGAAAGAAAGAGAGAGGTTTTTGGAGGGGCGATGTCTGTGGTTCGTTATACTTGATTGAAGGGAGGTAGGTCACAGCTGCTGGCCACCGCGGGGACGCAGATGCGATGCTTTCTCGTGGCCCTGAATGCCGCGGCCTGGTATGGGCATGCGTTTGCTTGTAGATCCAATCTCATAGGTTGTCGGGAGGCATCACGATTCCTTATGCTGCTCTGTCTTGGTCGGCGTCAACGGTGGCTTTTATACTTGCTTAGTCCACGATTCCACAGCGACATTTTCTCGGAGTTGGAGTCACGAACTTTATAATGACCATCTATCTCTCCCATTATCGGTAGACCAACATGGAACCTGGCAGTCTTTTCCGCGAGGAATTGAAGGCGGATCAATCAGGAAGATCGGGGAGTGGTGTATACTGATGGCTAGCTAATTTGCGATTATTTCCCGTCTGATTCCCTATTTAGAAGGAAGGCGCTGTTCTCGAGTCTCGGAGTGGTAGGTAAGTGGACTTGGCGGTATTGATACACTTGAAAGCGAGCAAAGGAAAAAAATAGGTTTTCTTGAGCAATTGCGTTTGACGGTAAACAACCTGGTTGATAGCAAGACCTCCCCCCACCCCCCCCCCCCCCCCCCCTCCCCCAAAGACCTGAGAAGCGAGGATTCTACTGGCTGGCTAAGAGGAAATATCTTTGCGGGAATGTAGAGACAGACAGCCAAGGAGAGATCAGACGTTCTTATTTTCAGAACGATCGCAATATCCGGCTCGTTACCGATCAGTAGGAGGGAATTCACGCGATTCGAGGGAAGCTCTTCAATGCCGATATTCGAAGGCTTTCTTTCGAAGGTGTGCCACTTATCTATTCGAGAGAGTCATACTACCTACGCGAGCAGAAGAAGGGGGGTCAAAGACTTGACATTAGTACACTCCGTCGGTGTCTGTGACCCGAAATGAGAAGTTGTTCTTTTATCTCAATCACCTAATAGAATATTAGGAAAATGGATCAGCGGCAGCCATATCCTCATTGAGCTCAAGGGATTACGCCGATGATCAAATCAGCATGACATGTTGTTGAAGTTGGTTTCTTGTACATACGAAAGAGCCGACTCTAACTTGGAGGACCGTCTAGCCTGTAAAGACAATATTTGAAACTGTCTGATTGCGAAGATGTCTTCGCCTTTGAGAATGAATCTCTTCCTTCATGTCCACTCATATCTTGCACTTAAAATCCCATTCCGGTGGACTCGAGGCTCTACCAGACTACATCTTCATAGTCCACGATGATGCCTCGCAGCCAGCTACGATTGGGACAAGACTCTCAGCTACGAAATGCATAGATCGACGCGATGTAGTAAATCAAGTGAATATCTAGTTGGGCGAGATAGGGATAGGCCAGAGGACAGCAATGCAGTCCTGGCAAGCCCGCTGGCTTCTCCAGTCCCATCGTAACTAAGAACAAGAAAAGGATGATGACCTTGGAGTTTCCAAAAGTCTCCAGAGCAAACCACTACACAGCACACCTGGCGACAGAGGGTCTCTCATGCCTTGGAAGTTGTCGACTTTGCGCAACTGCTGCATCGGTCATGGCCCCGGGGACGCGAACGTGGATTTGCAGAGAAGTTATGCTGTCCCCAGAAAAACGCCATATCAAACGTCTCGCTCGGAGGAAATTGCCGGAGACCATCAGAGCCGCGGAAAAAAACAAAAGAGAGAAAGAGAGCGTTGAGCGATTCCGGTAATTCCCCAACCTTAAAAAGGGGGGAGGGTCGAAAGTCGAAGCGAGGCCTCCAAACACGTGCCAGATTTCTACTCATGGATACCCTTCCAGCCCTTCATATACTTATCATATCAGATGAGACACACCATATAGAGCACCCAGAATGACGCCCCATGACGATGCCCAGTGCCGTATATACATTCCATCTCCCGTGCTCCGAAACGACAGCATCATTACGTGCCTACACCGGGACCGACGACCAACCGGCGACCCCCCAAAAGCTGCTGCGCAGTCTCATGATTCGCGAAAGATCTTTCGGATGGCAGGCATCAGCCTGAAGTACATGGGCTTCTCTGCATTGCGCTGGCAAAATGCACAATCTGAACTTTAAATTGGGGCTATATTGTGAAACGGACACCCGCCTGCCTATATGACTTTGCGGATTTCCTTTTTGCTTGAAAGGGAGACTTGTAGACGTCGATTCGCAACTCTTTCGAATATCGCAAAATACTTCACTTCGAAATCGCAGAGAGTCCAAAAACCGCAGCTTTCTTTTCCGAGTAGTTCAAAATGGGTTTTTGCTTTGGATTCGTCTTGGTCATCCTCACCATCATCTGTGAGTATCCAATCTCTACATTTTTCCATCTCTTTTTTTTTTCGATTTTTTTTTTAGTATGGGAATGTTTGCTAACGCAGAAGTACAGTCCCGCCACTCGGTGTCTTGATGATCGCAGGCTGCAGTGGCGATATTGTGGTGAACCTCATCCTCACCCTGCTCGGGTACGTACTATGCTATACCATACCATACCATACCATACCTTCTCCCACTACAAGCACTCCCAACACGATGATGGATCACGCTTACCGAATTAACCCAGTTGGATCCCGGGCTACATCCACGCCATCTACCTCATCGTCGTCTTCTACCACCGCAGAGGTCTCCGCAGAAGAGGCGTCTTCCTCACGAATGACGCGCCCCTGATCTTCAGTCACAAAGTGCAGAGCGGCGGACTTGCGTACCGGGGGAGGAGAACCTACTAGAATTTTTCTCGGGGTTTGGAAATGGGTAGATGGGATAAACAGACAGATCCAGACAGACGGTACGGGTCCGTACTCGAGCGTGGCGTTCTGGTTGGAAGCGAAGATGGAAAATAGAAGGCTGGATCTGCACCGGCGAAACGGCTTCTCTTCTCTTGAGGGACGGGAGGGAATTTTCAACTTCATATTTGGTCTGCCGAACAATATCCAAGGGGGGGGGGAAGGGGCGCTGGTCTTAAATTCGAAGCTGGAACGGCCGATTGTATTCCCTCAACATGAATGAATGAGTGGGCCAAGAAATCCGTACTTTCAAAGACTGTTTGTAAGCCAAGAGCACACTTCTCCCAAGTCAAAAATGAAGGTCCAAAGTACTCTCTCTCTCTCTCGTCTGGATGTCCCGCAGTGGCTTCAGGCGCCTCTCTTAAATAGCAGACAAAAGACCCTGATAGCAATGACAGCGATACTCCATTTGATAGTCACTTCCCCCTTGATCGGAATTTCTCGCTTAATCCACAACATTAGCCCCCTCCACTCCTATGGTGGTGGAACAGTTGAAAGGTAAAGTCCTGGATCTTCTGAATCAGAAGAAGAGGAGAGACGAGTGCATAGCGAAAGGAGTCTGTAGTGCTCTTTCCTCGGTCATTTGTTAGGAAATGGTTGGGAAAAGTGACTTGTAAGACTTCGAAGGGAAAGAGCCTTTTGGTCGTTCTCTTTAAAGGTTTTTGGCTTGGTCAAGAGTCTGCAGAGAAAGGGGCTTGAGTGGGAACAATATCGGTTGAAGCAGCCAGGCTGATAAGGACTAAGTGTTCATTTGTATAAGTTGTTAGGTGGTGGTCTTTTCTTGTATCTTTTAGATGTCTGTTAAAGTGGTATAATAGCTTGCCGGCCTTTTTCGTAATTCGCGGTCCCAATCCTTGAATTCCGGGCCGAGGGCGATCATGTCCTTCTCTGTTGGGCGGACCTTGGCGCAGGCGTCTGTCGGATGTCAACACGATTACTTCCGATGCGGGAGAGATAAAATAGAGTACGGTAGGTACTGTATGTACAAGAAAAGACATCGATCGGCCCCCTGGGCCCTCAGTGTCCGTAGGTATAACTACGGAACTTGTAGCCTCAACTGGCGTCCCCTTCAACACCACAACCACAGCCACAGCCACAGATAGACAGACAGGCGGAACTGGCCCATTCGCTGTCGGTTGAAGTCAACCCAAGCCAACCCAAGCCCTGCAAATCGAACAACAATAATAATCCGAATATAATAATAATACAAACTGAGCACCAATCACGAGTCAGAAGAAGCCCGCAGTTTTATTCATTCGGATTGCAGAACGCAGTTAAAGTAGCTAGCTAGCAAGAGTAATGTACAGTCGCCCCTTCCTATTACACCTCTTCCGCCCCACTATTCACAAATGCAAAGCCGTGGTTTTTCCCCCTGGAGCACCTGCCTTCTGAATGTAGCGTGTCATGCAGGTAGAAGCGAAAACTCCTCGACAAAAGGTCAAGCATGAATCGAGATGACAGCCGGGAGAACCGCTTGAAGACAAATCAATGCTTCCCAGTACCGGGATCGGAGAACAAAGATTGCCATGGGACGAGAAACAATCAAAAAAATAGACGGCGCCGGATGATCACTGAATCGTGCCCAAACTCCCCGCCCCCAAATCCTGTGCACCAGAAGTGAACGCAATGAGGCGTCCTGGCACTCAGCTGCCCGTCTATCGTATAACGCCTGGTCCGCCAGAAGTGCATCCCACATCATTTCGTTCCGTTAATCATTTATCTTTCCCATCATTGTACATGTACCCCCGTTTCGCCTCGCCAAATTCGCCAGTAATTAGAATCATCTCTCTGCGCTTGACCCCTCAAGCAGCCGGTGCCCGCTTCAGTGTCATCATCATTCTCTCGACCAGCGTAGTAGAGTCAGCGGGGACGTCTGGAAAGTCGCGGACCTGCAAATTTGAAGCCTGTGACACAGAAGCCTGTTGGTGTACTTGCGGGTGAATCTGCGAATCCTGAAAGTATTGCTGATGCGCGTATATCGGCTTGTTATCTTGTGGCTGAGATTGCTGCTGATACTGCGCCTGCGAATGAGCCGCATGTGTTTGTCCGTTGGTAGTGGGAGGCATGGGCTGGTACTGTGGCTGAGAAACTGGAGTCACGGGTGTTGTGTACTGTTGTTGAGGGGTGTAAATCTGTGTCTTTGTAACGACTGGAGATCGCTGATACTGCTGCTGTGAGACAGGCCGGCTGATTGGTGACTCCGAAAACTTGGGAGAAGGTTGGTAGGGTGGCCGGGAGACTGATGACAGAGCTGGCGAGTTCATAGCCATTGTGGAAGACTGATATTGCTGTTGAGACACCGGAGCATTGACTGGCGAATTTCTAGCGGCTGGAGGCGGCTGATATTGTTGTTGCGTGGGAGGATGAATTGGCGACTGTCGAGCAACTTGAGCAGGCTGATACTGTTGCTGGGCGGGAGGGTGAACAGGCGAGTTGTTAGTTGCGGGAGACGATTGGTACTTCTGCTGTGAAGCGGGAGAGTGGACCTGCGCGTTTCTTACCGACGGAGAGGGTTGGTTTTGCGAATTGTCAGCCAACATAGAAGGTTGGGGTTCAGGCTGCGACACGGGTGGACGGCTAGTTGGATGCACCGCACCTGGTTTGTAGGCGGTTTGTGGGGCGGAGTTGGAAGAGCCACTGTACTGCTGTGTTCGTTGCTGAGGTTGGTGCAGGTTCTGCTTCTGGGGTAGAGGTTGGGCTGCTTGTTGAGGATAGTACCGAGCCTGGCTTTGAGGAGTGATCGTTGGCTGATATGGCGGTTGAAGTTGACCGTGTCTGTGATACATGGCTGGTGGTTGTAAAACAGAGCTTTGTGGTTGAGACGCCGAATCTTCAGGAGCCTGGTATTGATTATACATCCTGTTGTACTCTTGCCTGATAGCAGGATGCAGCGGTGCGTTGTCCTTTTTGTCCGAGGTGTTTGCAGAGGCTGTGGCTGCAGGGGCCTGAGGCTGCTGCTGCGCAGGCGCAGCGGTATGTACAGAAGTGCGTACTGGAGCAGGTATGGAAGAAGGCGCAGGCGCAGAAGTACGATACGAATGATAACCATTGGGCAAAGTCGAAGAGGACGAATTTTGCAGTTGCAGGCTTGGACGTGGCGGGCCTGAGTAAGGCTTCGAGCTTCCCCCAAAGGACGAGATGCTCGACGTGATGGAACCACCTGGCCGGAACATAGTCTGCTGCAAGTGCGCCTGGAGACTGCCCTGGTAACCGTTCATAAAACCGCCGCCAGGTCTGTAGGGGCTCTTGTACTCCAACGGGGACACATTATGCTCCTTCTGCAAGTAAGGATACTTGGCGAACGGACTTTGTTTCGAGTTCGCAGGCTGTGGTCTGCTACCAAAGGGATTCATAGGTTTAGGCGACGCCACATGATTGGAAGGACGGTACATCGACTGAGGTGTAGGGATAGCAGTACCAGGACGTGAAGTGCTCATCGCAGGCGCTGGCCGTGGAGTCGATCCAAAAGATCCCACAGTTCCCGCCTGTGATTGTTGCTGTGGACCCTTAGCAGCGGGTGCGTGAGTCGAGTATTGATTTGCTGGGCGAGGGTTTTGGGAGTTCTGGAAACGAGGATCTGAGCCGAAGGTGTAGGCAGGTGCGGTCGATCGCTGGAGGAAGTTTTGCTGATCACGGTAAGCTTTTGGATCCACATTGTACATCTCAGCACTGTTGCGAGGCTTGTATACATATGGCTTTTCTGGCCTGTTAAAGGCTGCAGAGACAGGCTGGTACGGTCGGGTTGCCGCCTTTGCCACACTCGAAGATGAAGCTTCTGCCTTGGAATTTGACGGGTATGAAGCAGCATATGACTGTCGTGATACGGCGGGGGCAGGCTTCGGAATCGTATCTAGGAAATGTCCCTTCGGATTGTGCCGAGGCTTTGCTGGATCTTCCGTGAATTGCGCCTTTGCTTCCGTAGAATTCTTTCCAAGATAGAACCACATCTGGTTCTCCTTGCTGAAGTCGACCTTGATTTGAGCCGGGTTGCGGGGGATCTTCTCGCACTTGAACTCTGCCCAAGTACAGCCTTGAACGAATGGGTCCTCCGCTCTTGGCAAGTCATCAACTTGACGCTTGCTCGTGTTGAGAGACTCTTTATCCTTGAAAGACTTCGGCATAGGTATAGCCTTTGCAGATGGCTTCTGCAGACGGTAATCTGCGGGGTCTGCAATGAGGAGCCACTTGTACTCAACTTCAACGCGATCACTGAGATACGTTAGCAGGACCGGGCCACTACATTCCAATTTGAATACGTACCCTCTAGGAAGTATGTCGACAAGTATCATCTCTTCACTAATTCTGTTCTCGACGACAGCTCCAGCAAAAATGTCGCCTCGATAATACTGCATTTGGCAGACATCGCCAACCTTCAAGTCTAAGCCGGCTTTGAGAAGGCGCTTGTCCTCTCCAAGTGCATCACCCTCGAGCTTCTTGTCGCGCTTAGTGCGATGGAATCGGCAGCTGAATTCAATACCCCAATCCTTGTATTCAGTTCCATCTTCACCAAAGACTGGAATTTCGCCTTGCTCAACGAGAACCCCAGCGGCTGCAGCACATGTAGCATGATAAGCTCGTGTACACTTCTTCTGCGAGCACTGGAAGCAAGCGCCCTTCTTCGAGCGACAGTAGTTGCACTTGAGGTCGAGACGACCCTTGCTGATGTACTTGACATCGACAATAATGTCCTTGTCCCCGGATTCGATAGAGGTCTCGGGGATGTACGTAGCGCACAATCGATGAGCCTTCTGGCCGTCCTCGGTGAAGAGGAGAGGCTCGGAGGGGATGTCGTTCGGGCAAAGGATGCAGGGCTCCCTCGAGGGTGCCTTGATGCGAACACGGATTCGCTTGACATTGGACTTTTCGTCTTTCTCGTTATTAAGCCGCTTGCGCTTCTTCTTGGGAGCCTTCGGCTTGATATCCCTGTTGATCTGGGGAAATGTCGGTACATCAGAAGCCTTGACATCCTCTTCCTCTTCCTCCTCTTCCTCTTCGTCGTCTGTCTCCTCGTACTCGGCCTCCTGGCCCCGAAGCTTGCGATCAATCTCGTGAACGTCAATCCAGACACTGTCTTGGGCCTGACTACAGTCACACTTCTTAGCAACACGACCGTACTCGAGCCACGACTCAAGCCCAAAGTTGACTGCCTCGGCGCAGTTGTAGCCGAGATTGTAACCAGAGTGGTAGCCGTAAGGAAAGGTGATAACAAATTCGCCCGGGTGGGCTACGATCTTGTTGACCTTGATGTTGTAGTTCGACAAGAGCTGGGATGGTGAGATCAAGAATGTCTTGTGTCGCAAGAATTGGTCGCATGCCTTGGCATCAGTAGGCCAGATGCTCTTCATAGCCGCCTCAAAACGGCGCGCATCTCCTTGTGAGATACTGTACCATTGCTTTGGTGCGCCGAAGTGGACATAGTTGATACTGTAAAGATCGACATCCTCCAGATGCCATGCGAATGTTGCTTTCCACATGCCCAAATACAGGTAGGCGGTGTTGACACCAGGGATTTTCGAGCCTAGAACATCGAGGATATTATCCAGCTTGCCCAGGTTCCAAGATGTGGTACGTTCATCGAAGAGTGTCCCAGGCATGTCTGCACCGTAGAGAGGAGGAGCGTATGTGAGAGTCTTCCAGTAGTTTCGCTCGAGATCGTCGCAACGTTCCTTGCTGAATTCCTCGTCAAGTTCATACTTGAAGTCCTTGAACGCAGCCTCATCCACCACACCGGTTTCGCGCTTGTTGTTCTTGCGCCGAGAAGAGACGGAGATAGCCTTGGGCTGTCGTCCACCTTTTAGCTTTGCTGGGCTATCGTACTCGTCCTCCTCAATTTTGACCGACTGGTCGTCATCCTCGGGCTTCATACTAGGGGAGACTGGTGTGGGAAGACGATCGGGCGTGCTTGTCCCATCCTTATCGATCGCTGCCGATCTCGACTTGTTCTTGGGAGGTCTTCCTGCTCCACGCTTCTTCGCTGTACGGGGGGCAGGTGTGGCTTTGGGTTTGGGGGCCGGTTTGACAGGCTTGTCCTGGTTCGCCCGTCTCTCTCCTCTCTTCGCGGGAGGCTGATGTTCACTCTGCTCGCACAATTGGCGCCACTGTGGCAAGTTGTAAGAGCGCTGGTGCACGATATTTGCTTGTCGATAAGTTCCAGCCGTGCCCATGATGTCCTGCTTGATCGGTTCCTTGACCCGCACAGTCTTGATAGCCTCGTCGAGCCGAGGTTGCGCAGCGAGCCATTCAGGGGGAGGTATGACTTTAACGATTCCTGACCGCATACCGTACGGGTTGACGGCATTCACCTTTTGGGGGTGTGTTAGCATATGTCTGGGAGGAGTGAGATCGAACCAAGCGCCGGGATCGATTGTAAGAGGTGACTTACATAGCGCGTGAAGTCTACAAATTCTGCCATGGAGGGTTTGAAAACTGGGACGCCTCCTTCGGAAATGTGGTCGGGGGCAACTTCAAGCTTCTCGCTGGCCTCGATCTCGGGTTCCAAGTCGGAGAGTTCCGAGTCGCTGCCGCCATCTTTAATTGCAGAGTTTGAGTCCGGGGGAGAGTGCAGCCCGACCGGCGCAGTTTCTTGGGCCGGCATGGCCACTGTATCGGCTGGCATTTTTCCCGGCGCTGCATGTGTGTGTATCATGCAGTCTTGTGTTATGGTAACGTGGGACCTGGCGTGGTAGAAATGGGGCTCGAGGTGGATGGATTGACTGACGTACGGGTAGCTGTTTTGTTGAAGGGGCGAACAGTGGTGGGTGCCGTATCAATTCGCGCGAGAGCAGACTCGCCGAGAATGCTGGGTCGTCGCCAGTACCAGGCGGTCGGATGCAGATACCACCGGATGAGAGGGATCAGAGGGATTGCCGGATCGGAGGTTATATTATCGTCGACGGTAGGCGGTGCGGTGGGGGTGCGGTGCGATTCGAGTGAGGAAATTAGTCGACGAGGGAGGTCGTTGAGATTGGAAGTTGAAGGTGGAAGGATGGTGGTCGAAGTTCGCGAAGGTGGGACGCTAGCGCTTATCCGGTCAAGCTTCGATTCGACCTGTTTTTATCGAGTTCCTCACCAGGTTTCTGCTCGCGCTCCTATTTCATCTTCTCCGGGTATCTCATTCACTATCATAAGGTCTCGAAGTGATTCTCGGTATGGTATGATGTTCAGCGTCGGTGGAGCTACTGTGAGTTTTTCTGGGCTTGTGGTTGCTGACTTCACCGAAGGGCAGGACTCGAAATTACGGCGTACCGGTACCTACTCTAGCGACGCAGCCCAGATTCCGAGGCGAGATGAGATCTACATGCCCCGCCTTATTGCCTTGCTGTCCATTTTCCGTGCCGATGGATTGATTCGATACGCAGTACCAGTACCGGTACGTCCAACTTCTGTCTACACGGGCATCGATGCGATTCATCAAATCATCGTGAATGAGTTGATGATTCACTTGGGTATTGATTTATTGGATGATTCTCCGTCAGTAACCCGCGACGCCGTTTTCATGACGCATATCCGCTCACGGCATTCACGACGCTCCCTAATCAATGCTCTTCATCATCTCATCATCCCTTACTGTGTGATGTTTATCAGATCGAGTTTGTGCTTGGGCCATGTGGAGCGACGGAGCTACGGAGTATTCCAGGCACAGATGTGCTCCGGGTTATGCCCATGCCATGCGGGTCGCGGCTTGTCCCCGAAGCCTTCTTTGAGCCGTCACGGCTCAGGGCTCACGGCTCACGGCTCACGGCTCACAGTTCACTCACTCACTTGTCACTCCCTCCTCCCTCCTCGCTCACCTCTCACTTCTCACTTCTCACTCCCTTCTTCCTCGTCCCAGCCTCAATGCTGTCATGGCTCTCACCACCACCACCACCACCACCACCATCACGAATCTCCATCTTAGATGGCTTCATGCTGGCGTAGAGCACCTCGCTCGAGCCTGCGCTCTATTACCGCCCGCCATGATGGAGTGGCATCGGCCTTCATCTCGTGTGATCTCGAGGTTCTGCTTGTTTGGTCGTTTGACCCGTCGGCCTGCGTGCTCCGCACCCCAAAGCCCCATAAGCCCCATGAGCGTGGAGCCGAGTGTCGATGAACGAAGATTCAAATCTCATCTGAGGTCCAGTCCGATCCCATGAACGTCAAAATAAGCTCGCTCATTCATACAGAGTAGTGTGCGCAGGTCGTCCCGCCCCGAGCCGGCCCCTAATGCATCAGGGGTGAGGCCCCGAGGCCTGCGGCTGGTCAATGATTCCCACCGAGCAGTTCGTGACGCAATGCTGGCGAGTGAAGGGTGTTTATTGAATTTCCATCCCTTTTGTGGGATCCAGGGTCTTCTCCCCTGGGCCCCTCGCCTCAGATGTCTCGCTCGGTGAGGTCCAGGGACACCAAGAGAGTATCCACGTTCACACCCAGCCTCCGTATTCTCGCTTTTGTTTGCATTTACTTTGATCGATCGCGAAGCTGGTCGTGGCCATGGGCGCCGTTGGCATCCCAAACGATGAGGTGTTCGCAGGTGTTTGGGGGTGGAAGTCTCGGAGCATGGCTACAGCCATTTCGCTCGACCCCCTCCTGTTTTTCATCTCACTACTCGATTTGCATCGCGCGTCTGGTTGAAGCGTTCGCGTGTTTATAAACATCTATCTATTCCGAGCACAGCCATACTCCGTACGCATCGGTCGACAGTCGACTTGGGATGGAACAGAATGCTTTGGTTGTCCGTACTTCTGTGTTCTGCTGTGTCATGTCGACGGCAGTGTTCCCAGTCTAGGGGATGATTCCGAGCCATGCTGAGGAGTGACATTACCAGCCAGTGCTGGAAGAAATGGAAAAGTTCACTTGATATCCTCTCGTTGCTACGATAAGTCCGATAAGGAATGCCAAGCTCAAACAGACACTTCCCCAGACCACACCCACGTGAATGCATGGAACGTCAAGGGATGATAGAAAATAGAGTCTCTTGTTACCTTTCGGGGGGAGGGGAGGGGTTCATCTTGAAACTTTGCATCTTACGTAATATTTGCGAAAAAAAAAGTCGTTACAGCTGGCTCTGATGCAAATGTACAAGGCTGGCTCAGCTCAGGGATTCGATGTGGGATCATTTCTGCCACGGTCCTGGCTGCTTTATGTTGGCGTATACTGCGGCTGCCTTACACATAGAAAGTTTGCAAGGTATTAGAGAACAGCCTGTTTCAATCTGCCGCTGAAGCATTTTCCGCACGGGCTGAGATCGTTGACTGGAAGTTTCTGTCAGTGCTGTTTACCGCTCTGAATCTCGAATCGCATATTCCCCTTCGCAGCTCATCCTCTCAAGACATGTGAGAATGCCTTCAATTGCGGAATCATCAACTCGATATATGCTCGTAGCTCCCAGTGATTTAAGTTCTTACCAAGCCCTTTCATGTTACAGTAGTATTCGAATGCTTGTCTTGAATGGCGATCACTCGGTATTGATACATGCTCATGCCCTTCCAATCTCAAATCATGCTCACTAGATCTCCTCACGGCGAAAAACTCTGCCTGAGAACCCATGGTCTTTGGGTAGTCTTTCAAAGTATCGCCGGAATTTTCGAGATCAGCCTCGTCAACATTTGAAATTTTCACGGCTCAAGGCTGATATATTATGTTTTAGTAGTCGCTTCTAAATTGCGAGACTTAATCCCTAAGTTATTTTTCCGAAAAAGGTTGGCTTGTGTTTATTATCCCATGACCACATATGTCCGTTAATTCGACCCCCCTCATCACGCGTCAAGTCTAGGACGTAAACCATATAGTCGTCAAAGTCGAAGAGCCCCTCGGAGGCCCACGTATTTTGACTGGCTGGTAGGAAACTACATTGGTCCTTGTTGTAGGAAGACAACGTCTGGGGTTTTCCCATTATGGCCGTTGAAAAAGAGCCGGAGGGTCCCGGATCTGTCTGGGCTCACTGAAAGCGATGAGGCACCAACCACGATATCTGCCGACGTACTCTTTGCGTGGTCGTCTCCGCTGGCTGGTATCTCGGTGTGCGTGAATCACAGCAGCTGTACGAGGGTATATGTGGTTGCCGGTTGTCACTGGATGGAAATTGGTTGACTCGCTTAATGTCATGGCCAATATAGTGATGCATCATTATATCTTGAGCTGGGGAATATGGAAAGAAATAAGAAACTGTCGAAAGCCGCTTTTTTCTCTCGCCGCTTGTCGTTTGCTATCCCAAGAAACACGGCACACGCTATACAAATCGGATTGTCCGGAGCATCGTCGTACTGGTTGCTCTGGCGTTGTTGATGCCACATTGCTCGAGCCGGCTGACTGCAGCAGACACGGTCAGCATGGCGGCGGCCCTGTCCCCGCCAACAACCCAGTCGGCATTTGAGGAAATTTTGGGGCGTCAGCAAAAGGCTCGAGACAGTTTGTTACACCGCAGGTCTTATCAGCTCCAGGCAAGTACAGGAGTTGATTCGCGTCGCTTCAAAAGATGCCTTGCTTTAGAGGCACGGGAACTTCGACAGCGAGCGCTATTCGGAAAAAACTACCATGCAGTGCTTGACGAGAGTCCACCCCCTTTGGAGCGGATCTTGATACATTTTTCAAATTATCGGTGAATTGTCTCGTCTAACATTTCAATCTAAGCTCGGTATTTCCACGACTTTCGAATCATTCCATCAGGCTTTCCCGCGATCTCATCACTGCATCAGAAAGTCCAGCCCACGTGAAGTCTCTGAACGATTGAAGATGGGACTAGTTAAGTGCTATACCGCGGTCATCGAGATTTGTTCCGATGCCGTCACGTTTCCGAGACGTCGGCCACTACGTGAATGTGCACAAGGTTCTATACTGCGAAGAGCACTTCTAATCTCAACCAGACAATCTCGTCGCTGGCGCCCTGCAAACATCCACTGCTCAAACTGAACGTCGTATTGGCACATCTGAGGGAACATACTCCAGTAGGCAGACACGGAAGCAGACCTGACTGCAAGCGACGCTCACGAAGCTGTCCTGACTGCGCAGCATCACGATTTGCTGGGGGAAGATAGAAAACCCGAGGACAGAGGCGATACGTGCTAGACCGAAAAGGCTTCAAGGGCTTAATTCCCTACGCCGGTCGCGCGGGGAGAGGTAGGTGCGAACGGAAACCGAACAAACAGCCAAGGGCTCCTAGTAGTCCGGGGACGAAGGAAGTCTATGTAGGGTGTATATATAGATATAGCACTCACCAAGTTCAGAAGGGGTTTGGAGTTTGGTCGGACTTTAAAAGAAAAAAATTATATATATATATATATATATATATTTAATGGTCCTGTACGCAGTAATCAGTACTGTTTTGAAGACTACTACTCCCTTGCCATCTATCTGTCAGTGGATTTAACTCCGTTATTGCTTGGCGATTTCTTTGGGTTGTCTTGGGGGTTTTTCATTAGTTATACGTTTGTTTACTTCTGGGAAATGTTGTTAGACTGCTGGCGTCGTTTTAGCGAGGGTAGATCTATCGTGCAGAGAGTGGTGCCTTTTCTCTACAAGCCTCGCTAGCACAGCGCACTCAATCTTCGAGGTTTCTTTGATGGTGAAAACAAAGATGAGGCTGTAATATTGAGCGAGAGACCAGTCTTAAATAAAACAGCGAGGGCCTACCTATCCTTATACCATAAACGCCGTCCCTCTCTCCCGTCACTTCTAAAAACTCCCGCCATTTCTCTCTCTCTCTCTCTCTCTCTCTCTCCGTATGGGATACAGTCTATAGCTACCCAGCGTGACCAGCAGCCATGAACAGCCTCTCCCTCTTCATCCCCGCACTCAGCACGACCGCCACCGCTCCGGCTACAATCACCAGGACGTACGTTTTGCTCATGCTGTCCACAATCGCAACCAACACCTGCTCCTGCAAATCCGGGCTCAGACTCTTCACAAAGTCGCTCCCGCCCCCCGAGATGGCAGACTGGATATCGGAGAGCGGCACCGCGGGCAGCAGAGCGGCGATCTTGTCCTGGGAGCCGTTGAGGAACACGGCGTTCGCGATCGCGAGCGCGATGGTGACGCCGGTCACCTGCGCGCAGGTGATGAAGCCTACCGCGGCGGCGACGTTCGACGGCTCCACGATGGCTTGGGCCACGGAGAACGAGGCCTGCGCGAAGAGCCCGCAGCCGAAGCCGACGAGGATGCTGTAGCCGTAGACGGCAGAGGTGGAGGTCGTGGTGTCGACGGTGTACATCAGCGCGCCGCCGATCACGATGAAGATGCCACCGGCCGTGTACCAGGGCACTTTGAGGGTTAGTCAGTCATCAGCTAGCTCTGTACACATGAAATTTTGGATTCTGGGCATCCGGGCGAGATGGGGGGGGGGGGGGGGTGAATGAATGAATCAATGAATGAATGAAATGACATACTGTAGTATCCGTAGGCAGACAAGACGGCGCCGTTCCCGATGACAGCGAAAATCATCAGGAAGATGAACGGCAGTAATCGCACCCCAGCCTCCAGCGCCGAGTCCCCCCTCGTGTACTGGAAGTAGATGGGCATCATGTAGATGGGGATGAAGACTGCCGTCCCCCCTGCGGCCGTCATGCCAAAGAGGATGAGGATCGTCCGGGACCGGAAGAACTCCACGGGGAAGATGCGGCGGCTCGTGTTGGTGAAGACCGTGTAGACCTGTTGCAGGCCCAGCACGATGAAGAGGAGGCCGGAGCAGACGAAGAGGCCGATGGTAGTCCCGGAATCCCACTCATACTGCACGCCCCCGCAGGAGATGGCCATCACGCCCGAGACGAAAGCGCCGATGGTCAGGAGAGCACCGAGGTAGTCTGCTCACGTTTCGTTAGCTACTGTGTGGTGTACGGAACTTTATTTACTTCGGGAACGGAACGACTCTCTTGCGAGTGGGATTACGCACCCATCTCACGAGCACGGTCGAGGAGTGTGACTCCGGGGCGAGGGTCCTGGTTAGGGAGCATGAAGAGATAGACCGGAGCACACAGTCCACCGATGCAGAGGTTGATATAGAAGGACCAACGCCAGCCCGCAGAGCTGTCCGAGAAGGCTCCTCCAATGATGGGTCCCAAGACCGTGCCCAGGCCCCTTTCTCCGAGGTTAGATCTGGGACTTTTCCTATCCTACCAGAAAGGAAAGGAAAGGAGAGGAGAGGAGAGGAGAGGCAACGTACCAAGTCAGGCCCGTTCCGCCCACGTACAGCGGCCTCTCGTGGATGGTCGTCGTCGCTGCCAGCAGTGTCATCACCCCAACGTACATCCCGCTCCCACCCACTCCGCAGATCGCCCGCCCGATAATCAACGCCTCGATCGTGGGCGCGGCGCCACAGACGGCACTCCCGGCCTCGAACAACGTCACGCAGAGGATGTACGTCCACTTGGCATTGAACTGTCCAAAGATCTTCCCCCAGACCAGGTTCGTGGCCGCGGCGCCGAGCAGGAACGAGACCGAGAGCCAGGTGAGCTTGGCCACGGCGTCGAACTCCCGCACGACGACAGGCTGGATGTCCGCCACGATCGTGTTGTCGAGGGCGAAGAGGAACGTGGAGCTGAGGATGGAGAGCACGACGACGACCCATCTCCAGCCGGAGATGTCGCGCGGGGGCACTTCTTCCGTGGTCCTGTCGGCTTGCTGCTTCTCCGTGTCGAGCTCGTCTGTGCCGCCGACAGAGGTCTTCTCAGAGACATCTTGAGTTCCCTTCTTCTTCTCGGAGGAGGGATAGGAGTTCTCGTGGTTCGAGGCGAGGCCTGCGACCTCTCTGTCCACAGCTGCGATGTGGTCCTCGTCGCTAGCAGTCATCGTGGAGTCCTCTGAAACTTAGTTAGAGGCAAAGGGGTGAGAAATGGTTTCGATGTCGTGGCTTGAAAACACAAGCTAATGGCCTGGGCTTGTCTCCCAGTGGTGGATTTGACGAGATTGCAGGAAACTCAAGAGTCGTAAATCGATCACTGGAAGGTGCGATGATGACGGCCAGAGAAGGCAGCTGTGGAATATATATATGTATTTTCCAGAGACCACAAGCATACTCGCCAAAAGTAAAACGCTTCGTAAGATAGTAAGACAGTGCTGACGTTAACATCGAGGTGCAGTTGAGCCTCTGCTGATTGGCGATGTGACGTTGGCGGCGCTGAAAATGATGGGCTGGATTTATCAGCGGCTGACGGTCGGTCGGCGTAATCATTGCGCCTTTGGCTCAATTGCTTTTGTTGATGTTGACAAAGAAATTGTAGGTTTTCGTCTTCCGTAATTGTTTGCAGGAGGTTCGGATTCCTAGAAGATAACAGAGTAGAGACTAGCATTCGATTCTAGAGAGATGGATCGGATGCCAGATTCTATGTATATATACCTTGACCGATGCGAACATGCACGGAATGCAGCTCGATCCAGCCTTGACTTTGTTTGTGTTTGTGTTTATTGTTTACTTTATGAGATTGAACCGAGGGCGGATCTCGGCTGTCATTCATCATTCGTTATCCATCATCCATAAGCCTTTAACACGAGCCCAGCCCGACCCTACCCTAAGTCTCAACGGCCTTGCCAATTATCCTCGCTTCTGTCGAACCGATCATATTTCCATCCGCCCATATTATGACAATAGCAGGGCCATCAACAGCCATCATACCTCAAACTACATTGTGTGCTCGGCTCATCTCCAAGATGACTGCAGCTCGAGGCAGCGAAGGTAAGTTTGAGAGCTCTAGTGCCAGCTTCCCTAATCGTCGCACTATCCCTGGCCTTTGGTAGTGCAGTAACATCTACTGCTGCTCCTCCGGCCGGAGTCAAAAAGTTGCGTTCGCAAAAGGTGCCGCTGACTTCGCAGCTTTTGTGGTCATGGTGTTTTAAACTTATGGTGTTGACTCTGGACGCACCTGCTCTCGGTTCTGTTCTTGCTACTCGAGACGGATCTAGAGTTGCTATTACCCGAGCTGCTGTTGTTGCTGTTATTATTGTTGTTGACTGACATCGATTTCAATCTTGTTAATCTCCTCTCGTTTGTGAAGAGATAATAATTATACAGTTCCGTTTGAGATCACAGTCACAATCGGCCTGGAAGTACTCGATGTTGTGCTAAACTCGACGAGCTCTTAACCGAGCCCGACACTTGCTAGAAATCGACTGTAATTGTGGGAATATAGGGCACGGGCATCCTAGGTCACGTGGTTCCACTAAGTAGCCGGCCTTGGCACCAGCATACAGGTCCCCTTCAGCTAGAATACCGGTAGCTGACCTCTTCAAACTTCACGAATTCAATTGGTACCACCATAATATTCGTACTTCTCATTCGGTACCTGTGATACCGACAGTAATCACAAAAGAACTCAGGCTACCCAGAATCGCAGGCCATATCCACATCAGAGATCATATATTCTCTGCCGCGGTTTCCACTTAGGCCAGAACCACCCACGGATCCTGGCGCACCAGCCGGAACCAAGGCCAAATCGACTTTGTCACTGAACTGGGCTGTAACCAATGTCACCGTACCCTTCTCCCTGACAACTCATCGATCTTCAGCGTGGGGCTTCGTAATATCTGCGCACTGGCGAATGCCAGCGATGCAAAGAACGGTAGGCATTTCATCATCGTCGAATGAACTTCATTAATCGGTCACTTGGAAGATATTGCCCAGCTGTACGTGATGACTCTGTAAAAAGACTGACCAGCAGAATGAATGAAGTGCAAGGCTATCTCTATAAGAGTGCCAAAAAAAAAAAAAAGAAAAAAAGGGAGGGGAGTAAACAAAACGATAGTATGCGGCTTCAGGAGAAGCTGGGACACCACGACTAGACGAACATTCCTGGTCGAACATCATTTGCATGCCGAATATTTATTATAGGAACGGATTAAAACCTCGAATCATTCAGGAATCAGTTTGCATTTTGGAACATCTTTAACCCGTCTGGTGATTTCTACCAGATGTCATATGAGACGACAGCTTTCCTGCCGGGCACTAAGAGAAACCAGATGGCTGGTGGTGTGCGGTTAAAGTTCGGTTGATGTGTGACAGTCTGGGGAAAAAGGGACGTAACATGGATGGAACAGTGGAGTAACTTTAATTTGAGTCTGCCTTGAGGCTTTATCCTATGACGCTGCGCAAATTTTGGAATGTACGTAGTACCGGTACGTCCGCGTGTGTTCGAGATAGCAGATTGATAATCGAGTTCCTACGTACCGGCAGGTCCATGAGATGCCGGGTGCAGAGCCTGTGAGATGCGGAATATCCATACTTTCTTCCCCTTGCGCTCAACAAAACATCGGAGAATATAGAAAACTATACACGCAAGATCATTCCAAGGATAAGATCATGGAGACGTGTGCCCTGTAAACTATTCGTCGGCGGAGCTCCGCAGAACGCAAACGTGACGAGCCTTATGTACAACTATGAAACTCATAGTGGGCAATACAGACCGTAACATATTGATTGGAATATCCCAGTTTCTCCGAAGCTATATATAGACAGCGGTAAAGTCTGCTGACTATTCCCTTGTCTTTTTTTCAATAGGCTTGGGCGATGAAAAAGGCGAGATTTTCCGGTTGTTGGTTCTCCGGGGCTCGGTTGCAATTAGCGTCGTTTTGACCGCATAGAACACAGGCATCCACGTCAGTAGGTTGAGCTTCAAGAAAGTAGGATGAAGCTTCACAATCTTAAGAGATGGCTGAGATGATTCCAGAAAGGCTTTTCTTGGTGTCTTGTTATACAGTAGATGTTTCAAAATCGATGCGGGCACTACCAGGTGTGGTGGTAGTTTTCCAATGTCGGACAATTAAATATACTATATCTAAGGAAACCAAGCTCTTTGAAAATTAGAACGTAAGAAGAATAAATCCTGGAATTTGCTGTCTCTTGAAACATGGTATGAGGCTTTCTTAACCAAAGGCACACTCATCTCGTACGTAGTATATAGAGTAAATATCAGGTACTACGTATCTACAGTACGAGGAGGGCCAAGATCCTTCAAGAGCCGCCAAGTAGCATGGCAAAATCCACAGATAAGCAATACTTATCAGCACAGTACGGTCAACAGCCAGTGAGTTTTATCTAGGCAAACGTCACTCCGTATCACTGAATTGTACCTCGGATCTACCGACAGTTGTTAACAAGAGGGGCCAAGCTTGATTTCCAAGCGCGTCGGGAAAGTCACCTACGTTGCTCCCTTCCAGGCTGGTAAAGTTGTCCCGACGCGTGAATCCTTATCTTCAGAGATGTTTCTACGCTCTCCGAGACATACGTAGTAGCTGAGTTTGGATTCTGAAACTGCTGATTGGATATCAAGAGATCGAAAACGGCCAGCGACTTCAGATCAGCCAATTGAGGTATATCTCGATAATGCCGAAAGATAACAACAGTGAAGCATTACTCTCGGCATTGACCTGTATGATTGCAAGCCTTCTTAGAAGAACCATATATATGTTATCCACTTCTCTCGCTCTCCGTCCATATCTCGAGGCACTTTCGGTATTCTCTGCGACACTTGTTGATAGTTGTGTTGTGAGCTAAATAAATACTTCGACGCTTTTTGTATTTACTATTATCAATCGAAGGGAGATGGCAGAAATAACTCCGGTTGTCGAATGGCCGGACTACTCAGATAATCCACAAGGAGGCAATCCTTACACCCAGGACTTATTAGCACCGTACGACAAGGTACAAAATACTCATGCAGCCTTGGGGATATCATTACATATTGACTAGGAGTAGGGGGATCTGTGCTGGCTCCTCGTGTGCACTATCATATGCTGGTAAGTTTCTTTCTCTTGCATAACCGATCCGGCTTCCACTCCTAAACGGCAACCAGGTTTCTCACGCCGGCCATCGGCTTTTTCTATGCTGGCATGCATCGTCGAAAGTCGGCTTTCACCATGATCTTCCAGTCCCTGTTCTGTTCATGCGCTTGCGGCATACAGTACTGGGTCTACGGATATTCACTATATCAAGCCCGCACGACTGGACCCTTCATTGGGGACCTATCTCTCGCGGGCCTTCACAATGTCCTCGCGCAGCCCAGCATGGCCAACTCTGACATCCCAGATATCCTCTACGCTGTCTTTGGCTTCACATTCGTCACGGCCACGGCGATGATCCTTGCTGGCGCTATGTTGGAGCGTGGCCGACTAGGCCCGAGCATGTTGTTCTTATTGTGCTGGACAACCTTCGTCTACTACTTGTAAGTCTAGAGCTTTGCTCTTACTACCCAAATTTCTGACTAATAATTTGTAGTCTCGCTGTAAGAGCATCCAACCGAATCATTTTGAAGTTGAAGACGACTTGCTGATGTCCACAGTACTGGGAATGGAACCCGTCAGGATGGCTTTACGAGCTTGGCATTTACGATTTCGCAGGCTCCGGACCTGTTCACATTGCCAGTGGGTTCGCTGCTCTCGCGTGGTCTCTGATGCTGGGTCCACGTAAAGACCCCAACAGGGAGTCTCTCCACCCCAAGGTTCCACACTTCAGGCCGCACAACCCGTTCTTGGTCGGTCTTGGAACGGTTATCATTTGGTTCGGATGGTTCGCCTTCAACGGTACGATCTGACCAAAACGTGAGAAGATTGCCTGTAACTGACACGATCCAGGTGCTTCAACTGCCAACCTCAGTCTGCGATCCATCTACGTAGTGCTAAACACGAACTTGGCAGCTTGCGGTGGCGGTTTGACCTGGGTAGCCCTCGAATACGCCTTCGAACGCAAATTCAGTATCCTAGGGTTCTGCACTGGCATCATCGCCGGCTTGGTCGGCATCACCCCCGCCGCAGGATTCGTTGAGGTCTACGTCGCGGCCATCATCGGCGCCATGACAGCCGTCTGCTCCTTCTTTGCCACCCGATACAAGAACTACATCTCCATCGATGACGGCCTGGACATCTTTGCTCTCCACGGCGTCGGCGGCTTCGTCGGCGATATCCTGACCGGGCTCTTTGCCTCATCATGGGTACCTGCGCTCGACGGCGCGTCTGGGAATAGCTACGCCGGTGGATGGTGGGATAGGCACTGGAAGCAGATGGGTTATCAGTTGGCTGCTGCCTGTTCATGCGCGGCGTGGAGTTTTACGATTTCATGCATCTTGCTCTTCATCATCAACCGGATCCCAGGTTGCCACATCAGAGCTAAGGAGGAGGATGAACTGCTTGGTCTTGATGCCAAGTACTTCTCTGATGTTGAGTTCTCGGGATACGATAGCGAGATGCATGGATTGAATGGACTGCTCAGAGAAAAGGGGAGTGGGGCTAGTAGTATGAAGGTTGTGGGCAGACCGACGACGGGTCCGCAGGGGGTTTCAAAGGTGGCAGATGGCGAGAAGATCGCCACAAAGTCGAAATGAGGTGAACGATAGCACTTAGAGGCTATGATCACAAAATAGCCGTCTCACGTTCTGTAATTTAGCGTCGTAGTGTTCCTTCCATGCCCTGGACTTGTTGATTACGCAATACACTTGATTGAGCTCTTCACAACATCCATTTGACCATAATCCTATCAGTGATATGGCGCCAATGACTCTTTTGCTACCGAATGAACATGCGAAGCACTCGAGCCAGAGTTGCGATTCCTAGATTCAAAATATCTACGTAGACATATTCCCGGGTGTCACAACATCGCCAGAATGGACGTCAAATCCAACTACCCGAGCCAGACAATTTAGCGGTCAAGAAGAAACCGTATGTTCGCTGTTGTAGACCCGCGGGCACATTGTAGAGTTATCTGCAGCTTCTCAAAGCTCTCGATAGAGGAAGGAAAGGTGGGAGAGGTACGACGGCGACGGCGTCGGGATTCGAGCTCTAGTATTCGAAAATGGCACATTCTTGCACCTGGAAATGTTAGGCCCATGGATTGTAGAATGCCCAGATAAATTTTTGCCCTTCTATCAAGGGTGAGAATGCTTTTGTGTTTTCGTGGATCTTACTGCAGCTATGTTTGTGATCAAGACAGAGATTCGGATATGCACCACCCCAGCTTTTGAAACTGGGATTGTAGGCGCTGGAGGTATGAACCCAAGCAGCATATCCATAGCGCTGATACCAGTTGAACATTCATCAAGTCACTGAGAAATTGACTGGAGCAGCAAACGGGCCCTCCAGAGTGCAGCATGGAGATCGACCCGTGGTATGGCCGCGTGATTGCTGGGCAGTGGGTAAAACAAAGCTGGATAAATTTTCGACTGTAATATTCATACTTGATACTATCCCAGAAAGTAAAACCAAATGCTTGATGTCAGCTGCGCTCAGAAAACAAAGCTATCTTCGGCTCTTTGAGCGGTCTGTGTTTCCCCTCGTAGCGGCAGACCAGGCCTGGAAATCTCCTTATAATAAATAGCATTGGCTGCGAAATTTTCAGGCACGGTATGATCAGCTCCGTGAATAATTATCCTTGCTATATGGTATGGGCATATTCACATTGTGGATTCCCTGAACTCTGATAGCTTAGATAATCAAGTAGCTTCTAGAATGCGCGCCCCTTTGAGATGAACTGCCAGATTCTACGGGTATACATCGCGGAAATGAAGTGCCTTGATGAATCCAGTCTTGATGAACTTCGGGTAATCAACTCATAGGTTTTAATTGAATTAACGCTGTTTACGGTGAAGCTACTGTGCTACGTACGTGGCCTTCTTGAGCCGCAAACCTGTTGCATAGCAAGCCTCAAATTTACAAAGTCTTTGTGGAATTACTAAATATTGTGTGAATGAGTCATCAGGAGCGTATGCTGTCAGTTCACTTTACTATCACCCTTCCTATAGTTACAAAGTCGCCAGATCAATCGGGTGGCGTTTTCTCGGTTAAATTCCCATGTAAACAAACGCTCGGTTATCTCAATCACTTCATCCTCCCGTCGGTTAACCTCGCGGTCACTAAACCACGACTTCAAAGCATCACAACTTAGTTATATAGGCCCGTATAAGCTGATGAATTGGTTCAATTGAAAACTGAAGTGACGGTGGTGCTCACCCGTCAAATCGAAAAGCAAAAGGAGCTAAGACTAGCGTGGTTGTGGACCCACAGTCGCGAGTATTTCACCTCACCACTCTCCTCCTTCCTGACTTCCCTACATAACCACCATCAACCCAAACACCTTCTCCTCACACCAATACCCAGACAAATAACGGTCCTAACACAATGGGACGACCAACGGCCACTGGTCGTGTGGAGAAGGTGGCGGCCCCTGGCGAGGGGGGTCGTCAGAATACCCGAGCTGCAGTCCGCCGCAGTGCTCGTAGAGATGATGAAGACGAAGTAAGAACTCCTATTCCTTGATAAATCCATTGGAAGCTTCCCCTTAACCATAGCAACAGGGTGATGAGGTCCCTCAAGCTGGCCCATTCGTTGCCGCCGGCCCTCCGACTGTCGTTGGCCCTCAGACTGTCGCTGGCCCTCCGACTGTCGCTGGCCCTTCTAGCGTAGCCTCGGCTACGATGACCAGAGATACCACCGCCGCAGCTGTAAGTTCCTCGCACTCCGGATACAATTACAATTGAATCTTCCATCTTACTTATTCAACAGGATACCACGGTCTCACAAGCCGCACCAGCTGCTGTAACCCACGTAAGAGATCGCACTCCTAGCCACGATTATACCTCAATACACTGATACATACAGTCTTTTTCGCAGAACCCGTACGGAAAACCGGCGCGCACACCTCTCCCAAGCGGCCGAATCACCGCGGCTCCTACTACCTCTGCAACCTCCGCGGCTCCTGCTGCGACCGCCCCCGCCATCATGGCAAACGTCCCAAATGCTTTTGCGACCGCAATCGCCCCAGCCACTCTTGCACCTGCCACGGCAGGTGCTCAAGTCGCTCAAGCAGTCGCAGTAAGATACTCATCCCTATTGGTAGCTTCGATCTAACCTTATAAACAGGGTGTTGCTGCCCCCGCCATCCCCCTAAAATACGCACAACACTCCACGCCCCCCCAACCCGGGGCTCCGATCCCTGGCGCCAATGTCGTAAGTTCCTCTGCTTTCTCTATACATCGCCTCTACACACATAGAGCTAACCGTTCCCCAGGTCAGTTCCCACTACTACTGCACCTTCCAAGGCTGCACGAAACACTTCGACAATGATCGTGGCTACAAGCGCCACTACAACGTCGAACACCTCGGTAACCGTTGGTATTGCCTCGTTGCGGGCTGTGGATGGAACATCTACGAGTATCGCAAAGCTGATGTGAGGGCACACAACGCTAAGGAGAACGCAGCGGAGGTTGCTGCCGGAAGACAGCCAACTCACCCCCAGTGAAATCGGGATACCCCACTTCACACAAGCACCCTTTTTGTAGCGATAGGAAGTCTTCGGAGAGAGTTTTGCGGTCAGAAATGCGCGCGGGTTTGATTTGGCTGCTTGGTTTTACCAAGGGCAGCGGGGGTAACGGAACGATACGAGAGCGCCAAATTCAGATTGGTAGCTAGAAGCAATGACTATTGACTTCTGAACAAAATGGGTTTCTACATCGCGTTCTTTCGTGAGACTTGTGCTATTGATGCTTGTGCTTTTCTTCATCTTTCATCAGCGCGAGTATGCCCGTGAGTCGCCCGTGAGTCTACGATGGCTTGCGTGTATTAGCAAGTCTGACCTTCTGGGCAAGCTGAACTGCCTTCGAAGAGTTTGCTGCGGTCAACCAAAACTGTGATATCTGAGACTGGCCATGATCATGCCCGTCCTGAAAGCTGTCAGGGTTCTATCAGCCTCTCGCACCGTGTGATATCCCTCCGTCCTGGTAGTAGTAGTAGTACTTAGTTACGTCCAGTGGGGGGCACGCCTAGCCTACCTCCCAGGAGCCTCCCACGGGGTACGGAGACGTGCTAACTAAGGAATTATATACAAGAAGGCCCTAGAAAGAATTTCAAGATGGTGCAGGGTAGCTGCTTTTGATTGCGCCCTTCCCCTGTAGATAGGATGGATTACAGAAAGAGAGGACTTTGGGTCGGGGTGGAAACTAGAGGAGCAAGGTAGAGTGTGCCATCGCAGGCTCAGAAGCCCAGCGAATTTCAGAGTCGCAAGGCGACATCATCCCTCCTGGTAGTCCCAGCATATAGATGGATCGGCTTTACAATTGCTGCTAATGTTAATTAACGCATTGCAGATATGGTTTCAAAGTTATGTGAGCATCCATAATCTTTACCATGCAACGGCAGCCATGCATCCGGTGAATCAAAACCGATGGGCTCAAAGGCAATTTTTCCCCCTACAGATCGAAAACCATCGAGTAAACAAAAACGCGACCCTCGATATCAAAGCAAAAAACTTTGCTACGTAACTATCTATATCCGTGTCCGCTGAACGCCGCCGACGCCCTCGCGCTGGTTAGGAATTGCCATATAAAAATCATTCAGAAATCAATCAGAACCCGAACATAGAATTCAGAACTTGCAAAAAAAAAGGGGGCAAAAAAAATAGGCAAAATATCAAAAGAAACTCTCAGATGAGAGAAGAAACACCTCCGAACCAAACGGGGTTTACTTTTTATCCGACGTAGTCTCGGGACGACTTCCGCTGTCGAGAATGGGGCGCCGGAAATTCGAATCCTAAACTCAGTTAGCTGCTGTTGTGAATATAAGAAGTGGAAGCTACTTACATTCGCGCTGGCGTGTTTTGTCGACGGAGGTTGTGGTGGTATTATAACTTATGTAAGGGTTAGTGGGATTTCGCCGGCCGGGTAGAGTCTGTCGACGGCGAGGGTAGCGGCGGATAATTTTCGGAAGGGAAAGATATATGGGATAAGGTAGTGATACTGTTCTTGTAACTGTGAGTTTCACAGCGAGTAGAAGATGTATTCATTCGGTTTTCTTTGCAGGGACTTGGATCTAGGTATTCATATATCCATCTTCGTGTGGCAGTCTGCTCTCAGCAAACCGTGTACTCAAAATGCCTGTCAACAACCAGTGTATTAAACGTGCTGAACAGACGTGTGATCGAGATGCGAAACTACTACTCAGATGTAATGGCGCCAATTGCTCTTAGGTAGCAACAAAACACGTCCATTATGCAAACTGTCTGCAGAATGAGGTTGATGAATTCCGAATAACCAATAATTAGATGGACTCGTACAGCTTAAATGACAAAAACCTGCGTTTCATATGACAGGAAATTCAGCAGAACAACTACAAAATATAAATCATGAGTTGCATTCTAATTTCAAAATGCCTCAGTTAGCTATGATCATGACCAGGAGTTCAGACCAGACGTCTACTTAAAAGTGTGCGGCCGCTATTTAGCGTATTTTGTAAAATGCGTAAAATGCTCAAAATTGAACAAAATACAGTAAGTCTCTATGTAAAATACCCCGCCATCTTTCCACCCTCTTTTCCAACCCCTCCATCAGACCCAAACCAAACAAACCAACCCCACTATCCCATAACATACACCAAGATGGCAGACACAGAACAAGATGGCTCCCTCGAGCACCAATCCAGATCCGTGATATACTGCGGCGGTACGTCTCAATGGGAGCAGGAGTTGCCCCTCCATTACCCCTCCATCTAGCTAATGTACAACTATAGTCTGCTCATTACCACCTGAGGTACGAATGAATCCCACACCACGGTTAATAGAAGGTGGTCGAAAGAAAAAAAGGGGGCCGGAGAAGATGTCGATATGATATAGGAGAAGATAGGGGAACACGAATATACTGACAGGACGAGGAAGTAGTACTGCGAATTCGGCGGCACGGTCAAGAAATGCCAGGAATGGCTGGAGAAGAACCACGAGAACATGTACGATCGGCTGTACTCTGACGGTATGGCCATCCCTTTCACGCGCAGGTGGTATAGAACCATGAAAGGGAGGACTTTGCCCGTGCTTACTGACGAACAATACCCGCCCCCGCAGACGCCCTCGCCGCAGCGACCTCCTCCCTTTCCGTCGACGCCCAGAAGCGCGCCGAGAAGGACGCCCACAAGAAAGCTTTGAAAGCCGAAGCGGCAGAGGCCAAACAAGCCGCTACGATTAAGAGCTCGAAGGTCATCATCAAGAGAGTGGAGAGGAATAAGGTGCGTCTGTCTATCTCTATTACATTTCTACTCTACTGCAAATGTACAAAACAAGTCTGCTAACGAGGACCAAAACCGCGCAGCGCAAATTTGTAACGGCGGTCACAGGCCTTGAAGCCTTCAACCTCGACAACAAGAAGGTCGCCAAGGACTTTGGGAAGAAATTCGCGTGCGGTTCTTCCGTGGCCAAGATCCCGAGCGGAGGCGAGGAGATTGTAGTGCAGGGCGATGTGAGCGAGGAGATTGAGGAGTTCCTGCTGGAGAAGTACCCTGTTATCCCGGAGGACAATATCGAGCTGGTGGAGGATAAGAAGAAGAAGGCCGCGCCGCCTATTGTCTGAGGAGGAGAGAGCAGGTGGGAAGACATATGATGTGTTTTCAAGGATTCCGTAGAATGAGGTTCGAGAGATGTCACAATGCCAGATTGAGACGGGAGGAATTGGATGGAAGGCACGTCTCTCCGCATCTCATCTCACACTGAATCAGATCCATAGATCAAACTACGGACTCAGATCTATAGGTCAGTCCTGAATGGCACATATCACACATATCACACTTCGTGACCAAAATCGACGGTGAAGTATAAGGAAGCGAGATACGCGGTCCTCTTTGGGACAATTGGCAGAAATATCTCTCTCCATTTGCTGTTGTACAAAACGCGAGTCATAACCCAAACTCCCTACTCCAACCGCTAAAGTAAAAAGTTTCGACAGCCGATCCAACATCACCTGGAAAAAAAAATCCAACAATGGTCAATTTCTCTTCCTCAAAACCCTCCCTCCAGCCGTCGCAGCAGGAGCCGTAGAAGCCTTGGTCCCGCCCGCCATCTTCTTGCTGCCCATCCCCTTTAAGGTACCCATGACCGACTTCTTGACCGCCGGTTTCACCACAGCAGGAGCCTGCTTCTTCACAATCGTCGCATTGCTTCCCTCACTACTCTCACTAATCGTGCTCGCCCTCCCTCGTCCAGCTCTGACTGGGGCCGCGGCTGGTGGTGCTACTCGTCGCCCTCGCCCTGCAGTTGCCGGAGCGGGTTTCTCAGCAGTGACCTTCCGTGTGGCTGCTGCGCGGGTGCCCTTGGCTTTCTCAACCATACTCGTCAGAAGACTAGTTGCGGCCCCTGAGTGCATTGGTGCTGTTTGCTTGAGCGGGGACACTGGGCGCGCCAGGAAGGACTTTGAGAGTGCGGGTCGGATTGGAGAATGCGGGAGGGTGCGGGAATTTGCTGAGCGGGGGGAGAGGATCGTCGAAGGGGCGATTTTGGAGGTGGTGGTGCGTGCTGGGGGAATAATGGCACCACGGACTCGTTTCTTTGGGTTCTCAATGTCGGCATTTTCCTTGTCGGTGGAGATGTCGTCGCTGAGTGTTTTTAGCACAGCCCCAGTGGTGATGTTTGTAGGGAGATGGGTATACCTCAAGCGTTTTGGAGCGCGCTTCGGCGATGGACTGATGTGGGAAATGTTCTGTCCGGCCGGCAACATATTCTTCTGCGGAGAACTGATCTTGGATGTTGTAGCTGCTGGCTTCACACTCTCGCTGTACTTCATCTGTAGATCCCCCATCTTTGCCCGTCGCAGGGCCATAGGGATGCGGTTGACCCGGATCTCGATACGCGTCTTGAGTCCCTGGGCTTGGAGGTTGTACTGGGCGCGTAATTTCCGAGCGCGTTCCGTAACTTTCATGTATTAGCTGGTAGTCCCATGTACCGATCAAGCCTCCTTACTCTCGAGTTGCAGGTTGTCGATCAACGCCTGCTTCTGCGCCAGAGTGATTCCCACCTTCTGCTTCCTGATAGGGCTTCTATTTGGAGGGGTCCTCGCTGGACTGTGCGTCTTCGTGGGAATCGTCTGAGGCGGCGCTGGGAAGTTCTGGATATCCTCAGAGCTTGTAGACTCAGTCGACTTGCGCTTCTTGGAGCGCGTCGGAGCCATTGTCTCGTGTGTGGGGTGGGGTAGTGATCTCAAAACTTTGTTAGTTTTGTATGTACAAATACGATCTTGATAGTTAAGCGAAGCAATTTCGACGTGTCGATTGAGCAAATGTCGTTATTCGTAGAGTTTGACGTGGTGGTGGATGTGGATGCGGACTTCGACGTAAACAAAGCCTCAACGAGCCGCATCGCTTCGATTTGGCTGCCAAGTCCAAGTTCCAACGCTACAGGGGTCTCGACAAGGTACGCGCATTCTATAGCTACCTTGAGCCGTCACCATCAGTACCTACCTAGGTATCTACAACAGTCCACAAGAACCTCACATTTCCTCTCAACCACGTTCACGTTTAGGTTGACGATCACAACCACATACACAACCGCAAATCAAAATCCACTCCATCTACACCTTCCACTCGAATAGAACTAAGCCCCCGCCACAGGCACAATAACAAGATGGGCCTCGAAGCAGTAATGGTAGTGGTGGATAACAGTGAAAGCAGCAGAAATGGCGACTACACTCCCACCAGATACGAAGCTCAGTCCGACGCCGTATCTCTAATCTTCTCCGCTATCACACAAGGAAATCCCGAGTCGTCTGTCGGTCTGATGAGTATGGGAGGCAAGGGACCAGAGGTGCTGGTCACATTAACGACGGACCATGGCAAGATTCTGGAAGGTTTACATCGCACGAAGAGCAAGATACGTGGGGGCAGCCACTTGGCTGTGGGCATCCAGATTGCGGGTGTATGTTATCTCCTCTTTTCTCTACGCAGAAATTCTTGCTCGCGAGAACCATGTTGACCAGACCAGCTTGCCCTCAAGCACCGCCAAAACAAGTCCCAGCGCCAACGCATTATCGTCTTCACCTGCTCTCCGATCCCCGACGACGAGGGGTCCCTGACAAAGCTCGCAAAGAAGATGAAGAAGAACGCCGTCTCTATCGACTTTGTGGCATTCGGGGAGCTGGACGATGATACGACCAAGAAGCTTACGATTTTCAGCGAGAATGTTAAGGGCCCCGAAGGCTCACACATTGCGATCATCCCACCCGGACCAGGCCTTCTCAGCGACCAGCTTGTTACTAGTCCGATCCTGAATGGGGACGGCGGCTCTGGCGGTAATGGTGGCGCAGAAGGTGCTGGGGCAGGAGAAAACTTCGAGTTTGGTGTTGATCCCAGCATGGACCCCGAGCTGGCATTGGCGCTGCGCATGAGTATGGAGGATGAGAAGGCAAGGCTGGATAAGCAAAGCAAGGAGACTGCGGATCAAGAGGCGAAGGACAAGGCAAAGTTGGAAGGCATCCAGGAGGAAGACGAGGCTGGGGAGAAGGCCCCACTGCTGGGTGAGGGGAGCGGCAAGAAGGATGATAAGAAGGACGACGGCGATGCGGATATGATGGATACGGCGTAGGGTCTGACTGTAGGTGCATTGGCATTGTATCATTGTACTATTAGATACACCTGCGGGTGAGACCTGCGAACCTCTACATGGTCTTTTCGAAGCTGTGCTTGCTGGGCGGCATCTAGCAACTGAATGGCAGATGAGCTGCTCTCGGCTTGCGATTTGCCTTCACTTGGTTTCGCGTCTGCCCAGGCGTCCCAGCCTGAACATATGCGCAGAGCCCTCTCTGCTGGCACCACTTTCCCAAGAGGCCTGGCACCCGAATGCATCAGCCCAAATCCCATCCCATCCCATCCCCTCCCCCGTCCATTCCGTCTCTCGCCACACTCACGCACTCTCGATTAAAGCTGTCATCTATTCCATTTCCCTTCCCTCATCTCGAATTAATGCCCCTCACAAACGCCACAACCCTCCTCTCCCACCCCTCGCACCTGACGGGCATCTCGAGCTGGTAGAACGGGTTCTTCATCACATAGTCCCCATACAGCCGGTAGATCTCCTGCAGCACCCGGTCCGTGTTCGGCTGCTGCGGCTCCGTGAACAAGAGGAACTTGGTGCCCGTGAGCGTCTGGAAGCACTGCAGGCGGAAGTTCTCCGTCTCGAGCACCTCGATGCCGGACGGTGGCGGGGGGCGCTCGTCGGGCGCGGAGGCCGAAGGGGAGGGTGACGAGGAGGAAGAGAGGGGGTGAAGCCGGGTTGTTATTGCGTGTATTCTAGAGAGGGGGATCCGTTAGCTGGCGCTTTTGGGCGGATAGGGTTGGATTTGATGAAATTGAATTGAATTGGATTGGAGTGGATTAGATTGGATTGGATTGGATTGGATTGGATTGGATTGGATTGGAGAGGGAACTGGGCAAAGGTAGGGAGCTGGCTTGAGAGAAGGGAGAGGAAGATACCCGTGAAATGTACCGGCTAGCACGAGGTAATCGTTGACAGTGAGCTTGTTGAGGCCCTCTGCGAAGTCGCGCTGGTAGATCAGACCGCCGGCTTTGTTGATTATTATCAACGCATAGACGACCCTGTGCTTCGGTCAGCGCTGCACTGGGGGGCTCTGTTGTTGCTGCTTTGGTTGGGAATTGTAGATGTACATCTTGCCTACTTGGTTTTCCGGTGCTGAGGACTCGGAGGAGTAGATTGATGGATAGAGAGCTGGGAAGCTTTAGGTAGGTAGGACTAGAAAGAGATGAAATTGTTCTATCAAATTTGATTTTTACAGGAGTGAAACGAAGACGGAATTTGAGCGGGCGCAAACAGTCTGGTGAAGTGAAGCTGCGGATGGTTGTTGACATCGACCTCGATTGACAAGGCCGAACTTCAGCCGCGGTTGAACTCGAATTTCTCCCCTACCAAAGCTCTCCAACTTCGGCCACAACCACCCTCATCTCGACAACCACGAGTTTGTTCTCCCTCCTCAGCGCGCACCCGCACAGTTTACCTTTCTTCGAGAACCAGCGCAAGTAAACAAAGCTCTAATCTCTCCCAAGCTCGAGCGATTACCCACCTAAGAAAGCATGGCGCAACCCGCAGCAACCTCGCGCTCCCGCGAACCCCCCCAAGGCGATGAGGAGGCTTCCTCGGAGCTCAAGCTCGGCGAGTTTCAGGATGTCGATGCTCTGACACACAGCGAGGCTGCGCTGGTCATCAATGCGCTGGTTACTAAGAGACGTATGGACAAGAAGAATGTCAACGAGACTGAGTATGCCGATCTCTCTCTATCCCTCGCCCCCCCTCTCTCTCCACACACTTGTGCTTAGGATACACTATAACGTGATCGCGCAATGATATGGGAATGCGCCAGGACCGGACGTAAAAGTCTGGAGCAGAATCGGACTTGGTGAGGATTGGGACGTGAGGGGCGCAAGAGCTGCTAAGACACGAGAAACGCAACTAAATGACATTACACGGGGGAAAGAATATATGCTGATTGCTTTCGGTGTTTCAGACTTCTGATCAAGACCACCGACTACCTCGACCACTTCGCGCGCTTCAAGCGAAAGGAGAACGTCGAGGCTGTGGAGCGCCTCCTGTCGGCGCACAAGGAGCTGGCCAAGTTCGAGCGCGCTCAACTTGGTATGCAACTCCACGCTCCCCTTCCCCCCAAAGCAGTTCGCGATCGATAGATAGATAGGCCTACGTGGTCGAGAGAGCAGAAGAGAGTGCTAATGCTGCATACTTAGGTTCCTTGTGCTGCGACACGTCCGAAGAAGCCAAGACCCTGATCCCCAGCCTGCAGGACAAAATCGGCGACGACGATCTCCAGGAGCTGCTGGATGAGATTACGAAGTTGATGGGCTATACGAGTTAGGTTGATTTGGATTCCGGAAATGCCCTCTCTACCATCTTATCGTCGAAACGGCTCTGAGTCCTCTTCCTGGGTCCTGGGAAGTCGGTCAATTATGATACTGTGGCTACGTGCGGGCGGAACTGAAAACAAAATCGGCGTTGGGGATTGATATGCATGGCATGGCGCGGCGCAGGAAGGATAATGACAAATGGGTCTTCTTCTTTCTTCCTCTTTTGTGATTTCTGGCGCCTGGGGTTCCCTTCCATCTCGTTGAGATTGGCCAGTTCTCGCACGATAATTAAGTGGTGGGAATTAATCCAAAATACTTACAGCAGACAGACAGGTACGTATGGGGGAGGCCTGCTGCTTGAATACTTTGGGTATAGGGGTATAGGAGAGAAGAGGAATTGTGATGACTACCTACCTACTGCTTTGGTAGACATCAAAGATAAACCAAGCCACTCCCTCTCCCTCTCTCAGGACCTATCTCCTCCCCTTCCAATAACTTTCCCGATCTTCTCGTTTGAGCGTGAAGTGGAGAGTAGTCTTTTTCTCATGTTCAAGTTCACGTTCAAAATCAATTCAACTTTATACGTAAATCCGAGATCTGATCTCGAATCTCAGTATCGTATTGTATTGTATTCCAGCCAAGCAAGTAGCGTAAGATAACGCAGGCATAACCCGCCCCTTGAACACCTCGCTAAATCCAACAACGAAACAAAAACAGCACATTACAAAAACATTACTATAATACAATACAATACGATACAGCCACATCTCAACGGAATCTGGGTATCGATTTCGATTCTTCTTGTTCTTCTGATTGTTATTGTTGTTGCTGGTGTTGTTGCTGTTGTTGCTGCTATTGTTGTTGCTGTTGTTGCTGTTGTTGTTGTTTTTGTTGATCATGATGATCATGAGGGCAAAAGACCAAAGCAAGAAAGCAAGTAAGCAATAGCTCAAATACTTGCCTACCTGCCGTTTCTTCCAACCTTGATCGACTAGCAAATCAATCGATCACCACCGTCCAGGCATCAGCCACCAAGACCGCTGTTCCGGTGTACGTGTACGTGCCGCTGCTCTATCCCTCTCGGTCCTCAGCAGAACGGAAAGCCGAAGCCGAAGCCGAAGCCCCGCCATGAAAACCATACCCCTCAGTAGCCCAGCTCATAATATGCTCCCCGTCCCTCCTTGAATCGAGGTTCGGACGCAGCGGGCCGCTGCCGTTGTCACGAGATGTTGTCGTTGTCGTTGTGGCCGCCGCGGAATTGATAACGCCCAAGCCGATGGGTGTTGCGCCGACCTGTGGATGAATGGGCTGTGTGTATCCATTTCCATGTCCGTGTCCGTGTCCGGACACGGCTGGCGTGTGGAATGAAGTCGGGACGTCGGCCTCGAGCTCGGAGTGGCCGGCGACGGGGGACGTGAGAGACGAGACGCCGCTGAGCTCGCTGCAGCGCCAGGCGGGCGGGTAGTAGCGCTGCCCGTTCCCGGACCCGGAGAGCTCGCTTGGGGACGGTGTTGTATGTTTGTCGTGGGCTGTCTGTCGACGGGATCCGGTTGCGCTGTCTGGCGGCGGAGATCTCGATGGCTGGAGGGCAGGGTATGCCAGGATTGGGATTAACCGCGGAACGTGAGGTGCTGGATCGGAAGTCGCGCCGGTGGGCGTGATGTTAGTAGACGTCGGTGTATTGGGAGGGGGGGTTAGTGCTTCTGGGTAGTGGCCTGGTAGTGAGTTGAGTGAGTTGAAGGAGAGGTGTTGGTGCGTCGGTAGGGACGTGGTTGTTGGTCTCTCCAGGTCTGAGAGATCTCGATCATGTCGATCATGCATAGGGGTCGAAGGGTTCGATGCCGCATGGTGAGTCGTCTCGTAGGACTCCAAGGGAATCCGCGTGAAATTAGGGACCGACTGGCTATTCGATAGCTCGGGATCGCCTGGGATGAAGCGCGGTCCGTTGAAGCGACCTATGCGCCGAGCTGTCAGTCGGATTTGGTACGGGGAGCTGCACTTCATCGTCCAGAATCTTACCACCAAAGGGCGCAAAGCAATCGTCTCTGCCTGCCAGAGTTCGCGATATTCTCGGGTTGTGGAGGGTCTCTTTGGAAGGCGAACGCGGTAGGTTCTGTGCGATCTGGTTGTTCTGCTTCTGCTTTCTTTGGCGGATCAACAACCAGACGAGGGCGGCAATAACGGAGACGGCCACCGCTCCACTGACTATACCGGCGATGATCGAGGTCTTTGAATGTCCGGGGGAGGGGCTCGGTGATGGGCCTGCGGTCTGGGTTGGGTTCGGCGTTGGAGGAGGAGTCGTGGAAACATCGTTGATACCTGGCCGTCGTGACGTAGCGGCAGAGCCGGTCGTGACCGGGACCGTCGAAAAGCTGGACAGAAATGGATTCTGAGTAGAAACTGCTATCTGTCCCGTAGTAATCCCTCGACTCGTCGTCGTGGGAATGGGTGCAGCCGTGTATTCCTCCTCGTCCGGGCAGCCTACTAGGTCGCATGCGTTGACCGAACAGCAACCCCGAAAATTGTTGGAGCCGCACGCATAGAAGACTTTGCCCGAGCCGGGAGCACAGATCCCGTCTGCTCGCTCGAGGTTTCGGTGCATTTTGATCTGGGCAGTTTGATATGTGCAGAATTATCGAAGGACTTGACCGATCGACTTGACCAGGTGCACGTTGCAGAGGTGAAGCCTCGAGCGGATGACTGGTCCCTGGTGCAAATGAAGAGATGGGCCTGACCAAACAAGCCGGCCGGCAGGAGGGAGAGAGAGAGAGTGAATCAATTGATTCAATTCGGATGGGTTGCTGGGAGGACAGGAGACGGCCGGGAAGCGACGCGAAGGGAGGGAGAACAATAAACAATCAACCAACCCACGATCTCGCCTGTGCAGACAAGTGCGGCTTCCTACCTACTCTGCATCGCACAACTTATAGAGAATGTTCTGAGCCGGTCACCAGCTACGCACGGGAAAAGGATAATGGAACATAATCTGGTGTTGGTGTTGGTATTGGTATTGGTGATGGTGTTGCTGTTGCTACTGACGGCCGGGCACTTGCGCGGTGGGTAGCTGCCGCAATCGTACAATGAAGATTCACTAACTTATAATAGGAATATAAAAATCCAAAATCGCGAATATCTGACTGAGCTTGGTAAGCACTTTCAAGTTCAAATGTTTGATCTATTGATAATCGTGAGCATTCAGAATAGCGTAATCTTTCAAAAGTGATAACGAACCTACATTCTTCTCGTCTACCTATGTGTACCAACCCAAGATGCCATCAGGTGACAGCGACTGACTGACTGTGAGAGGTTTGAATGACGTTTATTCTCTTTCCTTCTATTTCGTTCCACCCCTTAACTCAGCACGTCAAGATATGCGTAGGACAATACGGGGTTTATTCCCTGGCAGACGCCCTCTGCAAACTCCGGGGCCAGGGGACCTCGCTTCGCACCGGGCGTAATATACGGCTGCCTTCCGAGGCCTTTAACATTAACGCTATGTCAATTTTCTATAAAAAAAATACGATATAAAAAAAAATGTAAATGAACGTAGTAGCACTACAGCCCGGCCGCAAAGCTAAAACCTACGGCCCTCCGCAGGCTTTTTACGGGGTAATTTTTCTGGGCCTCGTGGTCAATCAATTGAGTAAATCGATTGAGTATTAATCTCGTCTATTTTTCTAAATACCCAACCTTTCATAGCGAGCGGTGTCATTACTTGGTAAACTCTCGTATTCGTTCGTAATATGCGCAACCGATTTCGTAACAGATTTCGTAAACGATTTCGTAAGGCTATAATTCAGCCGAAGCCTTCTACGCTAGCAGAAAGGTTCGTAACGTCTACTTCATTTTGAAAAATCGCTGTGATACAATATCATATGCAAAGGATGACTATCAAGTTATTATAGAGTAAAACCGATCGTATAAAACTTGTCTGCTACATATGGTATCAAATTTCAGTTTCTGTCCGTAGAGTATGCCCTTCCAAATGATCAAACTATCGGTTGCATATCAAAACAGATTTTAACTTCGACTTTTACGAACCTTCTCCCCTTGCGTTATCCGAGCATCTTCACCGTCATCGTTCTGTAAAATGTAACTTAATTCATTCGGAAAAATCCTGATTCAAAAGCTACGCCAATTTATTTTAAGCTATCTTAATCTATTTTAAGCAACACCAAGCTTCTCTAAGTTAGCGAGCGTACTTTCTATCGCTACTTGTCATTATTCCGTAAATCAGGTTGTCAGTTAATAGCAGTTATAAACAGGCTATGATAGTCATCTACGAGCTTTAAACTAGAACTCACCGGCTATTTGATACCCTTCGAACGTCATAATATTGACCGTATCGTTCGTACCGTCCGTATTATCTTCCGTATTATCTTCCGTATCGTAGAATAGCGGTTGCAGCGGCTACTCTTCCGTATCGTGCAATAGCGGTTGCAGCGGCTGCTCTTCCATATCGTGGAATAGCGGCTGCAGCGGCTGCTCGTCGATTTCAAAAAAATTAGCTTCGGTTTCACCTTATTATCGAGCTCATTCAAGCTCTCATCGTATTTCTTCGCGACTCTGTTGCTCGATGTCATCGAATAATCGATTTTATTGCTTGTTTTCCTCGCGATCAGCTTTTTATTTTTCTTAGTCTTTCGCTGTCCCAATGCGTAGCTTACCTTTCTTTTCTCGTTACGTACGTCGATCGTATCGCTTTTAAATGAATTCGCTTTTTTTTTCTTTCGATACTAATTATCGGTATATCAATATCGACCCAGCTCGGTTACAGCGCTTACATGAACATGCCTCGCTTAGTATCGCATACCCTCGAGGGGCCCCAACTTCTTTATAAATACTATTATATAGCTAGTCCCCGTAATTCCTTCTAATCGTGTATGAGGAATCCACTCCCCCGAACCTTAGGGAGCAGACAGAAATCAAATACCATTTTTACCGACAGAATTGCAGTTGCAAGAAGCTACGCGCGCTGCACGCTAGGAATGAACGTTCGCTACCGGCGATCCAATACTAATCGTGTTTCCGATTCCTGCAGATATTATATATTGAATTTCGATATCGGTTATCTGGCATAAAAAAGTCCGTAATCTCTCGATAGGAATTGCAGGCCGAGCAGCGAGCTCGATTCGTATGTAAGCTAGCTCTAATGGTTTGAAGTCGCATAATCAAAATGGAATTGCGTTCCCGAATTCAATATCATTGGATTTTCCTACGTGGCTTTCGCTTTAACGGATGCATTTACCAATTAACGTAGAGTTCACGGGTTGACGATTTTAACAGTTATAACGCGCTTAACATAATATAAATCAGCCGATAAGATTTGCAGCTCAAATAGCGCAATCAATTTATGAGGATGCTTATCATTATGCATTATAACTTGATCAAATTATATCAAATTTAAACCGGATTCTTCGGCTTGAAATTCTGATTTTAGTGTTCCTCACGTGATTGCGTCGAATCCGCCCCGCCACCCGTGATCTCCGCGCCCGGGCCTATCCCACCTACCGCCGCCCCCGCCGTGGACATCTGCGCAAGGCTCGTCCGGAGGCTTCTGAGCGCTCATCAGAAAAGACCGGCCCGTCCTTGCGCATACTTTACGGGACCTGCATCATGCTTCGAGAAACGGCCCAAAAAATTGAACACGCGCCGCTCCCGGCCCTCGAGGCGCCGCCGATCCTTCTCCGTCAATTTCAAAAAAAGAAAAGAAAAAAAAAAACAACAACAATCTACCGAGAATAGATCAAAGTCTACGCATACCTGGCCCTGCGGCCAGCATATCTGTCCTTCCAAAACTACAGCGTAGGTAGTTATAGCCCGGAGGTTGATCTGTTAAGGCGAGGAGAGAGATTGACAGCAACGCATGAAACGATTGGCTCGAAAGTACACTAGAGTTTTAATCTTGATTATTTTCAAAGGGGGAAGAAATAGGCTAGCTACCGTACACGAGTATAACAGGTTGTTCGACTGCAGTCAGTACGGTACCTATATTTATTTACTTACTCAGCATCTCTATCTTAGTTACCGAGCTGTGTTGCCTTTTGTTTCTGCTGTCGCCCCTTCCGACCGACCTACACCTGGGCCCTGGCTGACCTCGGTCCGGCCTCCACTCAAGTTGTTCTACGACGCGCAATCGCTAATAAGCTTCTCCTCAAGCTTGCGATGGCATCCTCTGCCTTACCTCTTTCGTCTCTCCTTGGAGACCTTGCCAGAGTCTTCTCTTTCTGTGATCCATCTTATCGGTAGTGGAAGGGCGCGGTTGATGGCAGCCGCGCTGCTCCACCTTGCAATGCTTTCTAGGCCGGTCTTGTACTACCATGTACGTAGTACTACCGGTACTACTACTACTACTACTACTACTACTACTACTACTACTACTACTACCGTACTAACTCCTTACCTATCTTAGCCGCAAAAGTTGTGAGGTCAACTCCCCCCTATTAGATGAGAAGGACCCAGCACCCGTAACCCGGTAGTGTACGGCAAGGGAACAGAGCCAACCAAAAATACGGGGACAGAACTTAGAGAGAACGTGGTAGCAAAACCCAGGCACGGCCAAGATGCGTGGTACCTGAGCTGCTGCAGGTACAGACGAATTAGGTACTACTACATACCAGGCTCCGACTCTTGGGAACACCAAGTGGAGGGGTTCCGTAGCCGAATCTAATCACTTGTATTTACTAAGTTCTTCTGAATATAGATCTCAGCGCTTATAACTAGCTGTCTAGGAGTCTAATAAAGTGGTCTGTTTCACAAACTGGCGTATGTGAGAATTATTACCAGCTGTAGGTACTACGTATTATCTCGATCCGCGGATAGTTAAATTGATTGGCTCAGCTTAGGTAGGTAGGTAATTAGAAGCTACGCAGTACTACCTACTGTACTCAGTCTGTGCCCCGGATTTCGAGACATGATGCGTCTTGTTTGCACTTCTGTGATCGTATCTCGTACCTGCCTACTTGTATTCGCACAAATTGTTTGAGAAATATGATAGCGATTGACCCTTTGAAATCTGTTGATGAGGTATTGTCGTCGGCGCCGCATTTCTTCTTACTAGTACGTTGTCTCTGGGCTCGCCATTGATTCCGTGCCATGCTCGCAGCGAATGGACTCCCGAGGTACTTTTCTTTCTCCGGAGCGCACTGCGTAGACCATGGCCTTCTATACCGACCGAATTGGTGTAGTATCATCCGGTAAGTTTAACTGAGCCTCCTACCATTGTAGGTAGGTAGCTTGGTTAATTATTACTGTGCTGTACTTGGTAAGCTCCCTGGCAAACTTACACTTTCGACATGTATTACTAATTATAGTAGAAGCTTTTACTCAGCCGTGAATCGCTTTGCGTCAACTCTGTTTTGGCATTCTACGTAGTAGTACTACGTAGTTGTACGTACGCCATGACGATCTTAACTAGACCTCGATGCCAACTCTATCGGAATACGAAGAGCAAGTACTACGTACGAAGCCGTAGAATCCTGTGGAGATGTGGGACTGCGACAGCTGTCTTGGATGGCTGAGTGTTCACTTACGGCAGAGTTCCTCTTGTTGTCACGATGTCTGAGTCGTTGTCTGAGTCTGAAGGATGTATCGAGTGAAGAAGGTTTTGATAAATTTATACAGAGTCTGATATGCCGGCATAGCCTTGACCGTCCTGTCTCCCAGTACGTACCGGTGCAGCGGCGGCTGCACCGTCATTTCCCGGATTCTTTCCTGTAGTATCTTCGCTATGGGATCCCCAACCTAGAGCTTATCACACAAACGTTAATTATATGAACAGGCAGGCCGGCACAATCCGCTGCAAGGACACCAGACGCGCGTTTACTTACTGTTGTACGGTAGCTTCTACTCTTTCTCCTGGCGAGAACTCTATACGGAATAAACAAGAGAAACTTCCATATCCCGGTTTCAGAGTATGAAATTAATCTTTGGCCCGAGGACGTACCTACATCTGGTCTGGTCTGTGCTGGCGCAGAGGTGTCGAGCGAGAATATATGTATACCTTCGGAGAATCAATGCCCCCTTTAATGGAGGTTTGGAATCGTCTATTTTCAAAAACGAGTGCAGCTATAAATAATTTTGTTACAATACCACCGTCGCTCGACGTGGATGGCCGCCACCTCATAGCGAAAGCCAGCCAAAGCCAGCCAAAGCAAGCCAAAGCCAGCCAAAGCCAGCCATTCCGACTTCTGATTGGGATCCACATTCGTAATGGCCGACCGAGACAGGAAAGGGAGTGTGTTTCTGATCACCTCGACCGGAGATACCATAGGACTTCCAATCCCCTCAAAGTCGCCGAATGATCCCTTGACATGGTGCTCACTGAAGCTGTTCCTTGTCTTCGTGTCCATGTCGGTGTTCACCACTGTGGGCCTGATACTCGTGCAGGGCACGAGTCTGCTGCTGGAGACTTTGGGAAATGAATACAACGAGGAGATCAATCCAAAGGTATGACGGCCTAGTGCATGCATCCCGTATAGCGCCTGTCTTTTTCTTTTTCCGAGCCATAATAAGAAAAGGAAAAGAAAAAGAAAGAAAAGAAACTGACAAGTGCCTGATGTATAGGAACCACTTTCACTCCGTCTGGAGGTTCTGGCATCGGTACCGTCTCTGTTCTGGGGGATTGGTGCCTTGATATGGATGCCGATATCCATGGCCATCGGTCGACGACCCGTCTTTATCATCTGCACAATACTTCTTTTCTTATCAACTCTGATAGCCGCCATCTCAAATGGTTACTATATGCACCTGACCGCAAGATGTGTTCAGGGAATAGCAGGCTCTATCTCACCGAGTACCGTACGTCCACCCGCCTCCCGCCTCTCTGTATGTTTGGGTGAAGATCGGCTGATATATATACTCCGTTAGATGATTCTCATGGTCCTGGACTTGACATACATCCATCAACGCCCTCAGTACATTGCCCTCTTCTGGTGTATCTGTAACGCGATGTCAAATCTCGGGCTCGCACTCACAGCATACATTGTTGCGGCCGGGGGAAACTGGCGTGCATTCTACTGGGTCTGGCTGGGACCGTGTATCGCCAGTATTCTCCTGGCGCTGTTCTGGGCCCCGGAAACATACTTCAATCGTCCCCCGATGGCTTTTGATGGGCACATCATTGACCAGAGCGAGAGCGGGAAAGTCACCATCTATCAATCGTGGGAGGAGGTGCCTGGCGGCAAGCCCACGCCGGAGCAGCCAGAACTCCCCTGCAAGGCGACGTGGCTCCGGAACATAATTTTCTGGAACCGGACGACGACGGTCGGCTACCGGGCTATCGCGGCCTTCCCGCGACAAGTCTTGTTCTGTGCAATCAACCCTCTCATCCTCTGGGTCCTGGTGCTGAATGCCTTCGTCTTTGGCGGAATGGTGGTGACATGCACCGAATACGTCGTGCTGCTCACGTCGCCACCATACGATTTCACCCTCAAGCAGATCGCACTCGCTAAGTTCAGCCCCATGATGGGCGCGTTACTGGCCTACCCGGCGTCCGGAGTCCTCACGAGTTGGCTCACCAAGATCCTCGCCCGGAGGAACCGCGGCGTCCACGAGCCCGAGCACTACCTCCCCTCCTTCATCCTGCCCGTCCTCACCAGCTCCGCCGGCCTGGCCCTCTTCGGCATCGCCAAGGAGCGCCAGTGGGACTTCCGCTGGGTCCTCTTCTTCGTCGGCCTCAACTACTTCAGTTCCATCTCCATGTTCACCTCCAACACGCTGTGGGTCACCGAGGCCTTCCCCAGGTGGGCCGGGGCCGCCATCACCGTCGTCGGCGCCGGCGGCTACGGCTCCAGCTTCCTGCTCAGCTCCACGATCGCACCGTGGATCCAATCTCAGGGCCTGGGCGCTGCTTTCGTGCAGCTGGCCATATTGACGTTGACCGTCGGCCTGGTCGGCTTCCCGGTCAATTATTGGGGGAAACGCTTTCGAGAGCACATCTATTCGAAATGGGAATAGAAAAACGGCCAACTATGCCAACTGCGGGTTTCCTTTCGTGCGACCCGGACCCAATTTTTTTTTTTTTTCATTTTTTTTTTTTCTTGATCCTCGGATAGCTTGCTTAATGACGAGAGATCTTGAAAAAGTAAATGGATTCCTAGAGTTCAAAGTCTGGGTCGTACTGTATGCAAGATCTATGCTGGCAAATGCCGCAAGCTCTCTTCTCGGGTCCCCATCTTTTGACTGTATTTCATAATTGCTGCTGAAAACCCCTGTGGGTTGGTGGTGGTGGTGGTAGTCTAATCTTGTTCGCCGGGTACCTCTCGCTCCTCCATAATATAGACATGTCGCAGACCAGCAGACGAAAGATTTTAATAATTATAAAACCAAAATAATCATCTTCAGACTTGAACCCTGGTATATCTGTCCTGGGCATAAACTATCAACGAGACTTGAGAGACTTGAATACTTGAAAGACTTGAGAGACTTGAGAGACTTAAGAGACTTGGAGGATTTTCTGTTGTTGTCAACTTTCTAATTGTGTATGCCAGTCGGCAGTAAGAAAGAATATCACTCTTCAGGATTTGATATTCAACTCTTCAGCTATCAAACACCTTGATGATGGGGGGC